CTTTGAACCACCATCCTCAGCCTCCTGAGTAGCTAGGATTACAGGTGTGAGCCACCAGCACCTGGCATAACCTGGATTTTAAGCCAGACCAATTGATTAAATCCCTCTGGCTCCTTCCCCTTCAGGACTACGGCGCTGCTTCTCTGAGTCCTGGTTTCTTTATCTGCCACCAGGGATGAAGGCAGCAGCTTGGTGGGAAGTGGGAGGTGATGTGGAGTGGTGTGAGGGGAGACTCACACAGGCACAAGAATCACAATCTCTGTGGCTCCTGGGCCACTTGTATTGGCATTTCCTGCCTCTCCTGGCCTTAGCCTGTGCTAGGTCTAGATGATGAGAGACTGTGCAGAGTGTCTGAGAGATTCCAGAGAAAGGGGAATTGCCTAGTTCCCTAGAAAAGTGCTCCCCAGGAGGAACACAGAGCCAGCTGCAACTCTTGAGTCACTTACCATCTCTCCAAATTGATTGGCCCCAAGACATTCATTTATATTACTATTCCCTATTTTCCTTTTACCCAGCTCATTAAAGGAAGGAAGAAAGAAAGAAAGAAAGAAAGAAAGAAAGAAAGAAAGAAAGAAAGAAAGAAAGCCAAAACCCCTTCCACATTTATTAGAAATGGAAATTTTAAATCACCAACCTCAAATGGAAAACTATCACTGACTCTGTAGAAGAGCTTACCATAAAATCAAATACAAGGAAAGCAAAACAAGATTATGCAATTCTAGCTCAATCCTGTTTCTGGCCAAAGGTTCTGGAACAGAGACAGGTGTGAGGCTGGAGGTGTGGCTCAAACAGAACCTCAGTACTTCCCCCACCCAAATAAAAGAGGTGTGAAAAGCGCAGGAGCTATTAAGTGAGACTTTCTCCCCAAGACATTGTTGGTGCTGGAGTTTGAACTAGGGGCCTTGTACCTGCTAGGCAGGTGCTGAACCACTGAGCCACCCTTGCAGGTACCCAAGATAATGGACAAACAGGAGGAGCACATTGAAAGGAAACTCACACATTACATTGTTATTTCATACAGGGTCTCAGGGACCTAAACTCCCCCCCCCACACACACACATGCACCGGCATCCTACACAGTCTGCTTTGGTAAACACTGAGCTAAGCCCTCTTTCTTTACTTATTTTACAACCACTGCTGTGTGACAAGGCCCCCACATTTGAGGGCCATGCTCTAGATGACACTCCACTGATCATACCTACCAGTGCATGCAGAAGCTCCTGACTTCTCAAGATTGTGAAATATCCCAGGACATTGTAGAAATGGCATCAGCTGACCCGGGTTCAAATCTCTACTCTGTCAAACTGGCTGTGCTCTGTAAGCCCTCCCTTGAACTCCTCAGGTCTAGAGAAGAGAGGTGACAGTGGCTGTTTAAAAAAAATACACCAAAAACCCAGAAACAAACAAACAAAAAACCCCACAAAGATGATAAAATGCCTAGAGTTGTAAAGTAGCATCCCACCTTGGGTCTTTGTACTTAATATTTTCTTGGGCTTTGTATGTCTTTTCATGGCTCATTTCTTCTTTTCCTGAAAATCTTGCCAGTCATTGGTGGCTCATGCCTATAATCCTAGCTACTTAGGAAGCTGAGTTCTGAGGATCACGGTTCAAAGCCAGCTCAGGCAGGAAAGTCTGTGAGATACTAATCTCCAATTGACTACCCCCAAACCAGAAGTAGAGCTGTGGCTCAAAGGGTAAAGTGCTGGTCTTGAGCACTAAAGCTCAGGGACAGCACCCAGACTGGGTTCAAGCCCCAGGACTGGCAATACACACACAACCTCTCCCCCTGCCCATAAAACCAAAACCAAAACCAAAATAAACTTTAAATGGCTCCTTTCTAATGAGTCTTACTCATCTACACTCAGTCATGATAAAGACTAATTTTGTTTTCAAGAAAACATAGAACACTTTCATATTATGTTGATTGTATTTATTTATTCATTCATTTATTTATTTTGCTGGTCTTGAGGCTTAAATTATGGGCCTGGGCACTGTGTCTGAGTTTTTTTTTTTTTTTTTTGGTCGGTCGTGGGGCTTGAACTCTGGGCCTGGGTACTGTGCCTTTGCTCTTCAGCTCAAGGCAAGCACTCTACCACTTGAGCCACAATGCCACTTCCAGTTTTCTGGTAGTTTATTGGAGATAAGCATCTCACAGACTTTCCTGCCCAGGCTGGCTTTGAACTGTGATCCTCAGATCTCAGCCTCCTGAATAGCTAGGATTATAGGCATGAGCCCCAGGTATCCAGCTGTCTCTGAGCTTTTGTGTTCAAGGCTAGTATTCTACCACTTGAACCACAGCTCCACTTTCAGCTTTTTGTTGTTAATTACAAATAAGAGTCTCCTGGATGTTTCTACTTGGGCTGGCTTTGAACTGCAATCCTCCAAGCTCAGCCTCCTGAGTAGCTTGGATTGCAGGTGTGAGCCACTGGTTTATCTTCTTACTGATTTTTAAGCTGTGACTTCACGTTTGGGTCAGTCTGGTCACCCCAGGTACCAGGCATTTAGAATCAGGCCTAATACATAGCAAAACCAAGTTAGGAATCTCCAAGCAAATTCAGCACAGGACTGGTTTAAATAGAAACTCTGAAAGCATCTAAGTATAGCCTGGTGCCAGTGGCTCCTGCATGTAATCCTAGTTACTCAGGAGGCTGAGATCTGAGGCTTGTGGTTTAAAGTGAGCCTAGGGGGGGTGGAAAGGTGGCTCAGTGGTAGAGCGCTTGCCCTGAATGCATGAGTCCCTGGGTTCAATTCCTCAGCACCATGTAAACAGAAAAAGCCGGAAGTGGCTCTATGGTTCAAGTAGTAGAGCATTAGCCTTGAGCTAAAGCATTCAGGGACAGTGCCCAGGCCTAGAGTTCAAGCCACACGACTGACAAAAAAACAAAAAACAAAACCCAAAAGTGAGCCTAGGCAGGAAAGTTTGTTAGATTCTTAGCTCCAATTAACCACAGTAAAAGCCAGAAGTGGTCCTTTGGCTCAAGTGGGAAAATTCTAGCTTTGAGCAAAAAGGATCTTAGGGACAGCACCCAAGCCCAAGCCCAAGAAACAAAGAAAGAAAGGAGGGAGGGAGGGAGAAAGGGAAGGAAGGAGGGAGAGAGAAAGAGAGAAAGCAAGCAAGCATCTATTCCTGCCATCCTTGGCTATCTCACATAGATAAAAAGTAAGTTCATTCATTACTTCCTACAGCAGAAGAGTAGCTGGGATTAAATGAGATGCCGGAATCCCTTGGTGTGCCCCAGGCTCTGAACCCCAGAGGAGCTGGTCCCTAGAGCCAGGAAAACAAAGCAGGCCTTTGGTACTGATGAAGTCTGATATCAAGACCTAAAAGGCATTTTCAAGGAAGCTGCTGGACCCCTGTGACTTCACAGTGCTGCTCCAAACTTGAAGCACCAGGGCCTCCTAGGCCTGGGATTCAGTCCTGTTAAACAGTCCTATCTCCCCTCTGTCTCCAGTGTTTCTACTCATTCTATTTGACTTTTTTGTTTGTTTTGGTGGTACTGGGGTTTAAACTCAGGGCCTTGCTAGGCAAGAACACCTCCAGCTCTGTTCTAAGCATTTTGTATGTATGAATTTATTTAATCCTCACAACAACTCTAGGAAGTGAGTGTTGCTATAATTTACTTTACAAGAGCAATGCAGAGGAGAGTTTTTGTTTGTTTAAATAGTACATGGGGGCTGAGAATGTGGCTTAGTGGTAGAGTGCTTGCTTCACATGAACGAAGCTTTAGGTTCAATTCCTCAGTATCATATACACAGAAAAAGCCAGAAGTGGCATTGTGGCTCAAATGGTAGAGTGCTCGATTTGAGCTGAAGAGCTTAGGGACAAGTGCCCAGGCCCAGAGTTCAAGCCCCATGACTGGCCCCCCCACCCACCCCCAAAAAAGTGCAGGGGTTGGAACTAAGGCCAGACACAGGTACAGACTAGATGAATACTCAACCATTGACCTATCCCCTCTCCAACCCCTCAGCCTAAGACAGGATTTGAAGAGACTTTTCTGGGACAGATGGTATGTCTCTGTGAAATGAATGCTAGGAAGCTGCTCATCCAAGCTCAGACACTGATTCTTTTCAGAGTCAGCTGAGTTTAAAATCTGTTAAGTCTTAGCAAGGGTCTTAGGCGGCTTCATAGCTGGTTTGGAGCTGGATTTAGTTTAGCTTTGTGTTGGGGCTTGTACTCACACTTTCCTTTAGCTTTTTTGCTTGAGTTTGGTGTGCTACCACAAGAGCCACACCTCCACTTCTGTTTTTTGAAGATAAGAGTTTCTTAGGTTAGTCTGCCTGGGCTGACTTCCAGCAAGGAAGTAGCCAGATCCTCGATCCTGTAACTTCTACCCTCAGATCTCAACCGGTAGGGTAGTAAGGCTAACAGAGTGAGCCGCCAGCATCCAGCTCTTGAATTGTTTATTGATTTGTTTTGTATTTGTTTGAACTAAAGAAGCCAGTTTAGTGGCTTATGCCTGTAATCCTAGCTACTCCAAACTTTGCAAAAAGTTCCTTTGACCCTATCTCAATCAATAAAAGCGAGGCTTGGTAAAACAAGCCTACTGTCCCAACCACACTGGAAACATAAATGGAAGGATAGGGTCCAGGTTGACACATGAGACCTTATTTGAAGTATAAGTCAACGTATAAGAGCTGGGGAGCATGGTTCCAGTGGTATCCCAGATTTAAACTCAGCGCACGCGCGCATACACACACACACACACACACACACACACACACACACACACACCCCTGAAAAGGATGTTCTTTCCACTAATAGATGGGGAAACAGAGGTTTAGAAAGGAAACTATTTTCCCCCCAAGGTGATAGGGAGTCAGCGGCTACAGTCTGCACCGCAAACTCCGGCCCTAGTGGGCCAGCTCCTGCCGGGCGTGGGGCGGACCTAGCTGGAGGGGCCGGGCGGGGCGGGGCCCCCCGGGAGGCGGGGCGGAGATGGTGCAATCCCGCGCTGCGGGCGGCGGGCAGCGGGCGGCGGGTGGCTGCGGATTAGCTCAGGTTTGCATCACCCAGGCTCGGAGCCGGAGCCGGGCTCGCGGCGTCCCCGGGACACTCGCAGCGGAAGCGGGGAAGGCTCTGCACGCATCGACGGGGCGCGACCTAGACGTGGGGCACGAGATCGGCCGCAGCCGAGCGGACCGCGTTCCCCCTGCCGGTGCCCGGGCGGCTCGGATCCTAGGCGGCGCCGGGACCCGCGCGGGGCGCCAGCACGAGGTACCCAGCCGGAGGGCGACGGCGTGCACCTGCCAGGGGGCCGGAGGGCTGCGGGGGGCAGCCGGGGCCGAGGGCGGGTCGCGGGGTTCGCCCGCGTGGGGCCGGCTTGCGCCCCGGCGGGGCGGGGCGGGGCCGGAGGTCCCAGGCGGGCACGGGAGGGCGGGTGCGGAAGGGCTTTGTGAGCGCGGGGCCCCTTTGGAGCCGCTGCGGTGTCCGGGGCTCTGCGGGAGCCTGCGGGGGTGAGATCGGGGTGATGGCGGGTGCGGGGCTCGAGCCGCGGGAAGGGCTGGGCGCTGCGCGGACACCTGTGGGGCGCGCAGGGAGCGCGGGGCTCAGGGTCCAGGGGCCTCAGGGCTGCCCGGTGTGCGTGGGTACCGTGTGCGTGGCTAGCGCACGTCTGCCGACGGCGTGGGATGCGCCTTCAGACCTCGGGGTGTGCAGCTCCGCTGCGCCCCGCCCCGACCTCCTTCCCATGGCTCAGCCTTTGCCAGTCTCGGGGGTCCGCTGAGCTCTGTGACCCCTCAACACGGTTGCCTCGGCTTCTGCTCCCACGGGAGGGGCCTGGCGGGCGAAGGCGGGGCGGGAGAGGTCGATGACTGAGCGGCACCTGTGTGCACACGTGCACACCTGTGTGTGTCTGTGGACGGTCAGGTGTGTGTCACCTGGAAGAAGTGTGTTTGTGAGAGGTGTGTGCGCACCTGTCTGCCCCGGGGTGGGGGGAGATGGGGGAGCCTGTGGCGTGGCCCATGGTCCTTATTGCTCATCAATGGTAGGGAACCGCAAGAGGTAGATATTATGTGTTGCCTCCATGCTTAGGCTACACAATCCCTTGCTGGTTTAAGAAGTCAGTTACCCCATCCGTCCAAAGCAGGGTATCCCAGCCTCCCCCTCGCCCGCCAGGTGCTTCCACGTGTGTTGGGATGAGACAGCCTGGAATATAATATGTCCAATCTCGGAGTGGCAACAGTGCTGCACAGGGTACTGAGCATTTACAGGGTGGCCCAGGGAAGATTGTCATACTAGCCTCCTCCCTCTGAAGATCTCTTAAGACTTACAGTATGAATCATTAAAGCCAGGCCCTGGTGGCTCACACTGGTAATCCTAGCTACTCAAGAGACTGAGCTGGAAGGATCACGGTTCAAAGCCAACCCAGGCAGGAAAGTCTGTGGGACTCTTATCTTCAATTAACCACCAGAAAACCAGAAGTAGAGCAGTGGCTCAAAGTATTAGAATGCCCAGGGTACATGCCTGTAATTTTGGATACTTACCTGTAAACCCAACTATTTGTCAAGTTAGGAGGATAAGGCCTTTTTGCTAAGAACCATATCTGAAGAAACAAATAACAATCCCCCACCCAAAGTGGGGGGGGGTGAGGGAAACCCTAAAAGCAAAAGACATGGCTCAAATGGTGAGGCCCTGAGTTTAATTCCTAGTACTGCCAAAATACTGCTAATAAATAACACCAATAACAATAGTAATAATGAAGCAGTAGTGATGAGTCTTTGCTGTTCCCTACCCTGCTGTGCAAGGCTTTATATACTGTTTTTGTATAACTTCTTTTTTTGGGGGGGGAGGGGACGGCGGGTACTGGGATTTGAACACAGATCTTCATGTTTTCAGTGCTCCAGTACCCGAGCCATATTCAACCCTTTTTGCTCTAGCTTGATTTCGATGAAGTCTTTGCCCTGAGGGAATAGAACGGAAATCCTATTTATCCCGCTCCTGTTTCTGAGATTACAGCCTGGCTGGCTTCTTGAGGTGGATTTTACTGTTTGCTGGGACTGGCCTTGAACCTCAGTCCTCTCAATCTGTACCCGCTCCGTAAGTGGGATTACAGATGTGAGCTTCTGCTCCCCAAATCCTGTGAGTGTTACATCCTGTTCCCATTTCACAAAAACCAGGGCAGAAGGGTGGAAGAACTTTCCCACCTATCCAGGAAGTGCCAAAGCCGGGATTAGATCCCAGGAATCCCCATCTACAGGATGCTTTATTTCTCCCACTGTTTGGAAGTCTTCCCAGGGTTGTGTTGATGCACTTCCTCACCAGAGGAGAAGAGAGGAGCCACTCACTACCTCCCATAATGCTTTTCTTCCCTTCTTTCTAGATGCAAGCCACCCCTCTCGCTGCTCCTGCTGGTCCCCACTCCAGAAAGAAGGGGTTGGAGTCCAGTGATGACTTAGATACTGATTGTCCTATCGTGAAACGAGCTCGGAGTAGACCCCAGCCTGGGCTGCCAACCTGCCCACTGTCCCTGAGCCCACCGCCTGGTCCAGACGGTGCACCTGCCATAGCCCCTGCCTCCCAGCTGGGACCTTATATCCTCCTGGAGCCTGAGGAGGGTGGGCGGGCCCACCGGGCCCTGCACAGCCCCACAGGTCTGGAGTACACCTGCAAGGTAATGTCTTGGGGACTCTTTCCTGGAGCATCCCAGGGGGCTGCAAAGAGTCTGGGCACTAGAGGATTGCTGGAGTACAGAAGCACTCTTCCTTTATTGATGTGTGCATTGGGAAGCAGCCAGTAGTCTCTTAGCTGGGCTGCAGCCAAAGAGGTGAAGCAAGGCCTGTGCCCAGCCCTGGGGCATCTGCAGCTTATCTACACAGCCCACAGCATGTAACCACTCTAGACACGGTGGAGAGGTGCTAGTGTTTAAGGGGCTGTCAGCAAAGGCTGAGACAGAGTTAGCCAGGTAGAAGTGGGAGAAGGGAGTTCCAGAAGGGCAAAGGGGGTTATATAAAGGCCCCAAAGGACTTAGCACCTGGTACTTTGGGAATCTCAGCCCCATTGTCCTCACAAAGGAGAGTAGGACCATGGCTGTCGATCCAGTTAGCTCTCTGTGGCTGGCACAGGTAGGCTGAGTGTGAGCTGGGTGGGTGAGTGAAAGGGTCAGCAGGGCTCAGAGAAGGTGGCTTTGTAGATCTTTCCTTTTTTTTGGCCAGTCCTGGGGCTTGAACTCAGGGCCTGGCACTGTCCATGAGCCTCAATTAATTAATTAATTTTTGTTGGTCATGGGGCTTGAACTCTGGGCTTGGGTGCTATCCCCGTGCTCTTCCGCTCAAGGCAAGCACTCTATCGCTTGAGCCACAGCACCACTTCCAGTTTTCTAGTGGTTTATTGGAGATAAGAGTCTCACGGACTTTCCTGCCTGGGCTGGCTTTGAACTGTGATTCTCAGATCTCAGCCTCCTAAGTAGCTAGGATTACAGGTGTGAGTCACCAGCACTTGGCTACTTCCAGCTTTTTCTGAGTGGTTTATTGGAGGTAGAGTCTCATAGACTTTTCTGCCCAGGCTGCTTCAAACCTGGATTTTCAGATCTCAGCCTCCAGAACAGCTAGGATTACAGGTGTGAGCCACCAGTGCCTGGCTCATTCATTCATTTATCGGCAGAGACTGGCTGTGTCATCTAGGCTGGCCTCAATCTTGCAGTCCTCCAGCCTCAGCCTTCTAAGTGCTGGAATTACAGTTGTGCATCACACCTGGAAGCTCGGGTGATGATAAGCACACTCCATCTCTGATCTTCTGGGTCTCTCTGCTTCAGGGGTTGTTTTTCTGTATGAAATTATTCACAGCTTCAGGCATCAAGAGGATAGCAGTTTAAAGCACAGATGAAGAAGGGCCTGGGTTCCAAGGCCCAGCCGAGCTTCTGGTGACCCCGTGGCCCCTCGGTTTCCTTCACTGTGAAATGTGGAACAGGTCACCTGCCTTTGCAATGGTGTTGGCAGGGTTGGGTGAGCAGGCGACAGTGCTCAGTGCCTGTTTACAGGGTAGTGGGCTCCCCAGGTCCCCAGTGGTGCTCATCTTGTGCTCTGCCCACAGGTGTACCCGGTCTGTGAGGCCCGGTCTGTTCTGGAGCCCTACGCACAGCTGCCCCCCAGCCAGCTTGTGGCCCGGCCCGTTGAGGTCCTACGGGGCCCTCAGCTCTACGTCTTTTTCTCTCGGACCTGTGGGGACATGCACAGCCTGGTGCGCAGGCGCCGCCGCATCCCCGAGCCCGAGGCCGCTGCGCTCTTCCGTCAGATGGCCACCGCAGTGGCGCACTGCCACCAGCACGGCCTGGTCCTGCGCGACCTCAAGCTGCGACGCTTTGTCTTCACCAACTGGGAGAGGTGAGTGTGGCCGCCAAGACCTTGAGATGCACCCAGGAGATGGGTGAGGTGGGGAAACTGAGGCCCGGAGGTCTCCCCAGTTTATGCCAGGGCTAGTCTCAAAACGCCACCCCTGGAGTACCTAGGAAGGTGCGCTGAGCTGGGGATGTAACTCAGTTGTGAGTCACCTGTATCTGCCTGATCTTGACCTTTTCAAGGGTACTGGTCAGTATCTAATCAGTGTAGATTCTTCAGTTTGGATTGGACTGATGTGCCCTGTAGATTGGAGGTGATTTTTTTTTTTTTTTTTAGCAAAAATAGCAAATTAGTTGGAGGTCTGGGATATAGCTCAGTGGTAGCATACTTGCATATTTATGCACAAAGTTCTGGGTTTCATCCTTAGCACCAAAAGAAAAGAAAAAAATACCACAAGCTGGGCCCCACAGGTGGCTCATACCTGTAATCCTAGCTATTCAGAGGCTGAGATCTGATGATCACAGTTCGAAGCCAGTCCCAGCAGGAAGATCTGTGTAACCAGCAGAAAGGCAGAGCATCTTAAGTGGTAGAGCCTGAAGTGAAAAAGCTAAGGGACAATGAATGCCCAGGCCCTGAGTTCAAGCCTCAGTATTCTCTCTCTCTCCCTCTCTCTCCCTCTCTCTCCCTCCCTCTCCCTCTTTCCATCTCCCTCTCTCTCACACACAACACACACACACACACACACACACACACACACACACACAGAATACCACAGAATCAAGAGGCCCTTATTACTTTATACTGGGAGGCTCAAGTTGATGTGTCCTTAATGTGTCATTAGTCCTGATCATGAGGTAAAAGTGGTGTCTGCCATGTGAAGTTCTTTATTTTATATTCCTTTGGTGGAGCTGTGGCTCGGCCATAGAATGCCTGCTTAGCAAGCAAGAGGCACTTAAAGCCACTGCATACAAATCCTGGTTCCACCAGTAATAATAATTATGTCCTCAATTTGGGACCATTCTTCCTAATTCTAATCAAACCAGAATTGCAGGCAGTGTGCACACCTGGCTTGTAAAATTCTAAAGTGTTCCTTTTGTAATATATATCTTGAGCAGGGGGTGGAGGGGAAGGAATTTAGAGACGCATATAAACATCCTGTTTCTTCTTAAACTTTCACCTAATAATCTCCAGGCCATCCATCTTGCCTGGAGCTGATGTTTGCCGAAGGCTGAATTTCTATTTCAGAAATAGGAAGGGGGTGGGGAGGACTGTAGTACTGGGCTTTGAACTTAGGGCCTCAAGCTTGTGAAGTTGCCAAGGTACTCTGCACTACCTAAGCTACACCCCAGGCTCCTTCTATACTTTCTGTCAAGACAACTGTGCCTCTTGGTAAGATGTAGAATGGGCAGTTTGTGTGTGTGTGTGTGTGTGTTTAAGCTGGTACACCTGAACATAACTTTAGCATGTTCTCTAGTCTTTCCAAGGCATTCATTGGAAGAGTTGACAGAAAGGAGGCTGTGGAGACAGAACTGCATGTGTTTATTATTTATTTGTTTGTTATGGTGCTCAGGATTGAACCCAGGGTCCTGTATGTTGCTAGGAATTGCTCTGCTATCTGTAGAGCTGCAGCCCCAGCTCCATTGGGGTTTTAAATCGAGCTGCTGCTTCTCACATGCTGTTTGGCCTTGCCCAGTGGCATTCGCTTATCAAGCAGTAGTAGAGACTCCGTTCCCCCAAGCTGTGTCAGCATTTGTGCAATGCCAGGAGGCACTCAGGAAGTGGTGCCTTGAGCGGCAGGCACATCAGGAATGCTCTGTGGGTTGTTTACAGGAGATGTTGTAGGCTTTCAGAAGCTCTGGGTTGCCATTCCGAAGCTCTGGGTTTTGTCATCTCCCACCCCCTGCTAGCACCGGAAGAAAATGAAGTCGAAGTTGTAAACAGTAGGATATGTGCACTTTTCTTTTTTTCATTTTTTGTCAGTCACAGGGGCTGAACTCTGGACCTGGGCGCTGTTCCTCAGCTCTTCAGCTCAAGGCTAGTGCTCTACCACTTGAGCCACAATGTCACTTCCGGCTTTTTCTGATTATGTGGTGCTGAGGAATCAAACCCAGGGCCTCATGCATGCAGGCAAGCGCTCTACCACTGAGCCACTTTCCCAGCCCTCTTTTTTTTTTTGCTCCTCCCTCCCTCCCTTCCTTTCTCTTCTCCCTCTCCCTTTCTCTCTCTCTCTCTTTCTTTCTTTTTTTCTCTCTTTCTTTCTTTATTGTGGGGCTTGACTTGAACTCAGGGCCTGAGCACTGTCTCTGAGCTTTTGTGCTCACGGCTAGCATTGTATAACTTTGAGCCATAGCTCTACTTCCTGTTTTCTGATGGTTAAATGGAGATAAAAGTCTTAGGGACTTTCCTCCGCAGGCTGGCTTTGAACCTCAATCCTCAGATCTAGGCCTCCTGAGTAGCTAGGATTACAGACCAGTACCTGGCATCATTTTTTTTAAATTGACATTGGCTGCCAACATCTTAAAAACTAGAATTTTTTGCATTAAAATATGATCTCTGGGACTGGCGGTATAGCTCAGTGGTAGAGTGCTTGCCTAGCATGAGTGAGGCCTGTGGTTGCATAACCAGCACTGCAAAAATTAAAATGAAAAATAAAACAAATTTAAGTTTTTTTTGGGGGGGGTCTGAACTCTGGGCCTGGGTGCTGTCCCTCAGCTCTTCAGCTCAAGGCTAGTGCTCTACCACTTGAGCACCACTTTTGGCTTTTTTTTTTTTTTTTTGCTTATGTGGTGCTGAGGAATCGAACCCAGGGCCTCATGCATGCAAGGCAAGCGCTCTACCACTGAGCCACTTTCCCAGCCCCAACAAATTTAATTTTTTTTTTTTGTCGGTCGTGGGGCTTGAACTCTGGGCCTGGGAGCTGTCCCTCAGCTCTTCAGCTCAAGGCAAGCGCTTTACCACTTGAGCTACAGCGCCGCTTCCGGTTTTCTGGTGGTTTATTGGAGATAGGAGTCTCACAGTCTGTCCTGCCTGGGCTGGCTTTGAACCTCGATCCTCAGATCTCAGCCTCCTGAGTAGCTAGGATTACAGGCGTGAGCCACCAGCGCCCGGCCAACAAATTTAATTTTTATGTATGGTCTGGTACTAGGGGCTTGAACGTAGAGCCTTGCATTCCCATTTGGCATTTTTGCTCAAGGCCAGCACTCTATTGCTTGAATCATGCCTTCACTTCTGGCTTTTTGCTGGTTAGTTGGAGATAAGAGTCTCACAGACTTGTCTGCCCAGGCTGGCTTGAACCACGATCCTCAGCTCTCAGCCTCCTGAGTAGCTAGGATTACAGACAGACTAGGAGTGATGCGAGCCCAGCTTAAGTCACTATTTCTTGCTTCTCTTTGGACAAAATGGGAATGGGAGCCTGAGAAGGACAAGTGGTTTGCAGCCTTGGCTCTGGGTGAGGCCCAGGGCTGTCATCCCAGGCCAGTGCCCTGGAGCTGTGCCAACATGTCTTGCATACAGGTTGTAGCCAGGGTGAATGAAATGAGCCAGGATCTGAGCTTAGCCTGGGGCCAGGTACATAGAGGCCACAGAGTAAATACTGGGCCAGTGTTATCCTTTTCAGGCAGGAACCTGCTATGTTTGGCACCCATCCTATTTCTCCCCTGATAATCAGCCATCAGGGCACTGAGTTTGTATCTGGTGGAAGAAAAACTGAACCCTTCAGGCCCTTGCTGGGAAGTGTGCTCCCTTGGGAATCTTACTAATTGCTCTGTGACTTGAGAAATGATTTAACCTCTCTGAGCCTGGGCTTCCTTGTCTGAGACAGGATTGGCAATCTAGTGGCCCAGGGCTGGCTCTTATCTATCATATGCCAGTAGGTCTTGGGCAGGTGGGTGCCAGTGAAGGTGATGGCATGGATGGTGGCTTGTGGGGACCTGACTCCTGTGTCTGCCCCAGGACCAAGCTAGTACTGGAAAACCTGGAAGATGCCTGTGTGCTGACCGGGCCAGACGACTCTCTGCGGGACAAGCATGCGTGTCCAGCCTACGTGGGACCTGAGATCCTCAGCTCCAGGACATCCTATTCCGGCAAGGCAGCAGATATCTGGAGCCTGGGTGTGGCCCTCTTCACCATGTTGGCTGGCCACTACCCCTTCCAAGACTCAGAGCCTATCCTGCTTTTTGGCAAGATCCGCCGTGGGGCCTTTGCGCTGCCTGAGGACCTCTCAGCCCCGGCCCGCTGCCTGGTCCGCTGCCTCCTTCGGCGGGAGCCAGCAGAGCGACTCACAGCCCTGGGCATCCTGCTGCACCCATGGCTGCGAGACGACCCCATCCGCTTGGTCCCATCCCGATCCGGCCACTGCGAGGCTGACCAGGTGGTCCCTGATGGACCACGGCTGGAGGAGGCTGAGGAGGAGGTGGGCGAAGGAGAGCTGAGTCTCTATGGCTAGGGCCACTGTAGTAGATGCTGAGCTTCCAACAGCAGGCTGAGTTTGGGGGTCTTCCAGCTTCCTCTTGCCTCTTTGGAATGAACCAAACCTAAGTGCCTTGTGGGAGGGACAAAGGGGAGCAGGTGTGCTACGGGCGCACCTGTGCTCTTCCACCCACGTTTTAGCTGGGGTGCTGTGTGTGTGTGTACGGCTTGTTTTGTGTGCTGGGAAAATAGCAGTAAGCAAGGGAAACAAGACTCCCAGCTGGCAGAGCTGGCATGTGCCACAAGACTGGCATGGCACACTTCATACCAGGGTCATCCTTCACGTGTGCTGTGCCAGACCCTGCTGACATAGCACAGTCCTCTCATGACAACCTAGCTGCCTGGGATCTAGCACCTTTCACAGAAAGAGCAGCTCTGTGCCAAAGGCTGCAGGCCTGACCCTGCAACTCAATACTGTGAACGTGGGTCAGGCCGGAGCTGGCCTTCTTCAGCTCTGGCTTCCCATCAAGACTTTCTTTGGAGCTGGGCGCCGGTGCTCATACCTGTAATCCTAGCTACTCAGGAGGCTGAGATCTGAGGATTGCGGTTCAAAGCCAGCTTGGGCAGAAAAGTCTGTGACACACATCTCTAATAAACTACTCAGAAAAAAATAGAAGTGGTGCTGTGGCTCAGGTGGCAGAATGCTAGCCTTGAGCACAAAGAAGCTCAGGACAATGCCCCCAGGCCCTGAGTTCATGCCCCATGACCAGAAAAATACAAAACAAAACAAAACAAACCCCCCAAAACCCAACAAAAAACAATAAAAGACTTTCTTTGAGCTCACGGAATGCCTCACATAGGAGAGCACTTGCCTAGCAACTTCAAGGTCCTAAGTTCAAACCCCCTATGCTGCCAAAAAAGAAAAAAAAATCTCTTTGGGTTGAGGGGTGTAGCACAGTGGTAGAGCACATGTCTAGCACGTGAAAACCCCTGGATTTCCAGCACTGTAAGAAAACGAGTTTCAGCCATGACAGGGAGCTCATGCCTGTAATCCTAGCTATTTAGGAGGCTAAGATCTGAGGATCAAGGTTTGAAGTCAGCCCAGGCAAAAAAGTCCATGAGACTTTTAACTCCAGTTAACCACCAAAAGCTGGAAGTGGAGCTGTGGCTCAGGTGATAGAGTGCCAGCCTTGAGAGAAAAAAGCTCAGAGACAGCGCCCAAGCCCTGAATTCAAGCCCCAGGACCAGCACAAAAACAAAAACAAAAAAGTCTCCTTTCCAGGCCAAGAATGCAGGTCAGAAGGTCAAGAATGCAACAAGAGAATGCTGCTTATCTGATTCAGGGCATGGTTTGGAATGCTCTGGACAGCTCCAGGCCTGTCCACTCCTGTGTCCACATAGACACTTTTTCTGGGGGCATTCAGGGTCCAGGACCACAGTCAATTCCATGGTTTGGTGATCAAGGATGTATATTTTTACCTTGTGCCTAATAAAAAGGGTAACAAAATACTTTAGTTTCCCCAGGGGATTTCTTCTTGTTTTTTCTGCCTTCAAGCCAACCCCACAATGAAGGCCAGATATGTCTCAACCTCTGCTGAATGGTTGATGAAAACAGATTCCCTACAACCCTGTTGATGTTCCAGCACACTTTCTGTTTCTTCTAGATGTAATGGGGTCTGAGGTGGGGTACCTTTTTGAGAAAAGAAGGGTTGGGAATATAGCTCAGTGATAGACAACTTGCTTTGTGTGCTTAAGGGAATGGAGGTGAACAAGTAAGTGACTGAAGCAGAAGATCTATTTTGCACACAGCTGAAAGTCAGTGAATGGTGTGGATTCTAGTGAATGGGGTGGAATGGTTGATTCATCTCACAGAGCCAATTGGGTAAGAATGCCTCATGTAGCTTCTTCCATCCTTGGCTCTGTTGTCACTGGAGAGGGCTGGTATCCAGTGAGAGCAGTACCATATGTCACATTAGATGAAGGAGAGTGACCTTGTGTAGTTGAGAATTTAGCACTACAGAGTTAGGCTGTCCAGAACTAAATCCTTGTCTCCACCTGTTTATCCATCAGCAAGGTTCTTAACCACTCTGCCTCTGATTCTTCATCAATAAGAGCTGTGATAATAGTTCCTAACTCAAGCAAGACAAGTGAGTCCAAACATCCAGAAGAAGCAGTGCCTGGCTAAACCCTGCAAGAAGCATTCATTGCTGCCATTCTTAGTGCTCTTCCCTAGGATGGGAGATGCTTTCCCAGAAGCAATCTAGCCTTCCCACACATGTCAGGATAGATCACAATCACCAGCAAGGGGTATGTGTTCCCACTAATTCACTCTACCTATCGCATACTCCAGGGGTTCAGCCCTCACTCCTTGGTGGTCTTCAGGTTTCAAATGTGTGCTTGTGCTGCAACAGCAGCACACAGAGCATATCACATAGCTCATCTTAGCAGGCAGTAAAACAGACTTGATAGGAATTGCTAAAAATATGTGGCCTTTATACTCACTGGCTGGGTGCTGGTGGTTCATGCCTATAATTCTAGCTACTGTGGAGGCTGAGATCTAAGGATTGAAGTTCAAAGTCAGCCTGGGTAGGAAAGTCTTTAAGACTATTGCAAATTAACCACCAAAAAGCTGGAACAGGAAATATGGCTTAAGTGGTAGAACAATAGCCTTGAGTATAAAAAGCTCAGGATCACTGCCCAGGCCCTGAGTTCAAGCTGTAGGAGTGGGTTGTACACACACACACACACTGGAGGCTGAATATGGTGCTACATTTTAGCAGTTGAGAGATCACAAGTTTCAGGCCAACCTTGGCTACAATAGTACCTCCCTGTCTGGAACAATAAAGCTGATCACTAGTGGCTTACACTAATAAGCCCCACTACTCAGAAGGCTGAGACCTAGAGGTTTACAGTTTGAAGCCAGCCCAGACCAAAAAGTCTGAGAGGCTCCATCTCCAATTAACCAGCAAAACATTGGAATGAAGGTATAGCTCAAGTGGGAAAGTGCCACTTTAGCAAGAAGGAAGCCTTGGGAAACTTGATACCCTCGGACCTGTCAAGGAAAGAGAAAGAGAAGCAGAAAAGCGGAGGCAAGCCAGATGCTAGGTAACTGGCAGACCTGGAAGCAGTCACCTTCCCCTCCTGCTAGGTCACATCCTGGGCCAACTCTGGTCACGTGACTTTCATCTGACCTTAGGATGGTCCCAGACCCAGAGGTCACATACAGATCTAGTGTGGCCACACCTTTCCCCCACCTAGCCACACCTCTGCCTGTCCCTGGTCTAGATAAGTCCTGGCCCAGAGGTGGGTCGTTCCCCCCTTCCTCCCCCCTTTTCAGACATGCTTCTCCACCATGCATGGTGGGGCAGCAGTTCGGTAAATAAACTTCTTTTCCTGCCTGAATAGCGTGTGGTGTTCTCTTCATTGGCTACCTAATGAAACCTACCTATTTAATATACCTTACAACAATTTGAGGACATCACCAAATAACCAGCACAAACAGATGTGGTAGAGCTCTAGCCTACACAGGCCCTAAGTTTAAACTAAAATACCAGCAACAACAAAAACTTTCAAGTGGTAGTATGCTTGCCTAGCAAGCTTGAAGCCGAGTTCAACTTACAGTACCCCAAACACCCTACTCCAGTTGAATATCCTTGAGCAGATTATACTCAGAGCCTCATCCCCCCCCCCCTTGGTGTCGGTAGTGGGGACTGAACCCAAGGGCACTGTCTCTGAGCTTTTCCTGCTCAATGCTATAGCGCTCTACCACTTTGAGCCACAGCGCCACTTTCGGTTTCCTGATGGCTGAATGGAGATAAGTCTCACTGAGGCGTTCCTGCCCAAGATGGCTTTGAACCTCGATCCTCAGATCTCAGTCTTGAGTGCCTAGGTTTGCAAGGCGTGAGCCACCCGCTCCTGGCTTCCGGTGCGAAGTTTAACCTGTCCTCAGCAGCCGAAAGATGCCTGGTCCCCGCTGCCCCGCAAACTCCGCCCCCAATCTAGATCCCGCCCTCAGAAAAGCCCCGCCCCAACGCAGACCCCGCCTCCTGACGCAAACCCCGCCCCAAACCAAACCCCGCCCGCCCACACCAAGGCTCCGCCCGTTGCGAGAGGCCACGCCCACATTTGCCCCGCCCCTTTCCGTCTTCCAGGCCCGCCCCTCCCTCTGGGGCGCTGCGCGGCGGGTGAGCGAGCCCGGGAGTGGGTGGTCCGCGGGAGGGCGGGGTGGGGCCTCCGGGAGGCCACGCGGAGGCCGGGGGTTCCGGGGGCCGCCGGGCGCCTGCGGCAGCTGGGCGCCTTGCGGGAGGGGGGGTCCCCATGAGGAGACGGTTTTCCGGCCCCCCCTTCCCCGCTTCCGGGGCCGGTACTTTCGCTTTCTCTTCCGAATGACCCGGGCCTCCCCGGAGCCTGGGACCCCCGGCTCCCTGCCGCGTGGCGTCGCGCCGCCCCCTGCGCTCCCCACCTCGCCTCTCCCGTCCCACGCGGGGCCCCGGGACGTGTGATGCCGCCCCGTTGCTGCGCGGGGCCCCGGGACTCGGAGGGTGCCGAGCCCGCGCGGGGGGCCTCGGGCCGGGGCTGAGCACTCCCGGCCGCGCGCCCTCCCTCAGGTGACCGCAGGTGGCCTTCCTCCGGAGCCGCGGCCCGGGGGCATGGGCGCAGCCAGCCCCGATGGACGACAAGACCAAGAAAGGTGGGCACCGACGCGGGGCGGGGCTGGCGGGACGGGGGCCCCTCGCCGGCCACATTGCGACCCGCTGACTGCGGAGGCGGCGTGGGGGCCGGGCCCGCGCGGGGCTGGGCCACACCGCGCCCCGAGGACGCTCCTGGGCCCGGGGAGACCTGAGTGCATCTGAGCAGCAGCGCTTCTTGCCTGTGCCCTCGGCCCTTCCACCCGCCTGGGGTGTCCCTGGACTGACTGCTGGAAATACATCTCTCAGAACCAAGCCTAGAACCCTGGGAGACCTGCTCTCCTTCAGTTCCCAGCCTGTGTGACCTCTTCCCAGAAACCCTCCCTCATTTCCTTCCTTCCTTCCTTCTTTCTCTCTCCTTCCTTCCTTCCCCTCCCTCCCTTCCTTTCCTCTCCTTTCCTCCCTTCCTTTCCTTTTTTTTTCTCTTCCCTGTGTTGGACCTGGGGCTGACACTCAGGACCTAGGTGCCATCCTTGAACTTCTGTGTTTGAGGCTAGTGCTCGACCATTTTGAGCTACAGCTCTATTTGTGGCTTTTTAATGGTTAGATATAAGATTCTCATGGATTTTACTGCCTGGGCTGGCTTTGAACCACTCGATCCTTAGATCTCAGCCTCGTTAGTAGCTAGGATTACAGGAGTTGAGCCACTGAGACTTGGCCTTTTTTTTTTTTTAATGGTAGTTAATTGGAGATAAGAATCTCAGTGACCTTTTGGCCCAGGCTTGCTTCAAACTTGGATCTTCAAATCTTAGCCTCCTGAGTAGCTGGAATTGCAGGTGTGAGCCACCACCACCAGGCACCTCTTTCTTTCTTGCCAGCTTGGATCACCCTCTAATTTTCTCTTGTTAAATGTACTCTTTCTGTCTTCTGCACTGAACTGGGAGTTCAGAGTGTGTGTGTGTTTGTGTCTAAGCCCAGTTTCTGGGACAGTGAGTGACACACAGTAGGAGCTGTGTTTATCTTGTCATGTAAGTGAATAGGAAGTATGGGGGACTCTTAAGTATGAAGGACAAATGGAATCAAATGTACCTGGGGTGGAGGAGAGTGGGGCATGTCAGAGAAGGCCTCTCAGAGAAAAGGACTTTTAATCTAGGATTAATATAGGAGCTCACTAGAAAGCCACCTCTCACCCTCACTTCCCCCAAAGCAAACCTTGTGTTTACTGCTTCTGTTCTGGCTTTCAGCGGAAGAGATGGCCCTGAGCCTGGCTCGGGCAGTGGCTGGTGGAGATGAACAGGTAGCTGTGAAATGTGCTATCTGGCTGGCAGAGCAGCGGGTGCCCCTGCGTGTACAACTGAAGCCTGAGGTCTCCCCAACACAGGACATCAGGTGAGGAATGCATGGCTGGTAGGGACTTGAGGTCTCTCAACCCTTGTGGCAGCCCGTGTTTTGTTTGGTTTTGTAGTACTGGGGACTGAACCCATGGCTTCACTGTCAGCTTGTACTGTCAGAAGATTTAGCTTCAAACCCCAGTTCTGTCACTAAACAATTACGAGATACAGTATATATATATTTTTCCCATTTCAGTTTGTTTTCTCATTTTTTAAAAATGGTATAAAACTATCTGGTTAGGAGATATTTTAAGATGTGGGGCAGAAAAAAAAAACCAGATCAAGTGGAGGCTAATTTTCTTCCATCTCATTATCCTGCCATTCCTGGCCTCCATCCTGAGGATTGCTTCATGCTTGAAGATAGCTGCTCCAGCCGCAGCCATCCCATCTTTTTTTTTTTTTGGTGCCAGTCCTGGGGCTTGAGCTCAAGGCCTGGGTACTGTTCCTAAGCTTTTTTGCTCGAGGCGAGTGCTCTACCACTTGAGCTACACCTCTACTCTGGCTTTTTTTTTTCCCCCCTTGGTGGTTAGTGATAAAGAGTCTCACAGACTTTCCTACATGGGCTGGCTTGGAATCACAATCCTTAGAACTTTAGTCTCTTGAGTCGCTAGGATTATAGATGCTGCCAGCTGGGAAGACACTTCTTAAGAACATAATTCAGTTTACATACTTCTGTACAGTTATTACAGACCAGATCTTACTTTTACAACCATGCTCAGTTTGAGTGGAAGCTGTGAAAGCCAGCCAGGCATCTAGCTAGAACTCGGGAATTCTACTTGATGAGGGAAACAAGGGAGAATGGATACAGGGGACTTCTTGCGGATGTGTGCCACCATGCCCAGCTTTTCTTTTTTTTTTTTTTGGGTCCGGTTGTGGGGCCTGTACTCTGGGCCTGGGCGCTGTCCCTCAGCTCTTCAGCTCAAGGCTAGCACTCTACCACTTGAGCCACAGCACCACTTCTGGCTTTTTTCTTTTTGCTTATGTGGTGCTGAGGAATTGGACCCAGGGCCTCATGCATGCAAGGCAAGAGCTCTACCACTGAGCCACCTTCCCAGCCCCTGCCCAGCTTTTCTTGACTTTTCGTTAAAGCTTTCTCAGTTCACTTGCAGATGCACAGTAGTTTGCTCTGTGAGATGAACTGCTGCTGCAGCTTGGAGGATAGTAGAAAGCGCCATGTTGCTTCCAAGTGTGACTTGTGAACCAGCAACATGGGCAGAATTTTGGGTCCTACCTGAGACCTGTCTTCTGAGAGGCTCTGGCCAGCAGAAGGTCCCCGTTGTCTGGTTTAACAATATACTCTTCATTTTGTCAGTTGTGGGGATTGAACTCAGGGCCTAGGCACTGGCCCTGATCTTCTTTTAGCTCAAGGCTAGCACTCTACCACTTTGAGCCACAGCTCCATTTCTAGGTTTCTGGTGATTACTCCCTCCCTCCCTCCCTCCCTTCCTTCTTTCCTTCCTTCCTTTCTTCCTTTCTTTTTTGTTGGTTGTGGGGTGAACTCTGGGCCTGGGTGCTGTCCCTGTGCTCTTCAGCTCAAGGCCAGCACTCAACCACTTGAGCCACAGCACCACTTCTGGTGGTTTATTGGAGATAAGAGTTTCATGGACTTTCCTGCCTGGGTGGGCTTTGAACCACAATCTTCAGATTTCAGCCTCCTGAGTAGCTAGAATTACAGGTCTGAGCCACTGGCGCCTGATGCAATATATGTATGATCTTTTTAATGTGTTGGTGAATTCAGTGTACAAGAATTTTTTTGAAAGTTTTTGCATTGATGCTCATCAGAGATTCACCTGTAATTTTCGGCTATGTCTCTAGTTCTTCTCCACCCTAGATCTGTTTCCTTTGGGGTCAGCTCTGTTTTTTCATCAAGACCCTTTTCTTGCTTCTTTTTTTTTATTATAAAGATACTGTACAGAGGGGTACAGTTACATGAGTAAGGTAATAATGAGTACATTTCCTATCAGCATTGTTACCCCTTTTTCTTGCTTCTGATCTTCTAAAAATGTGTGGGAATCTTTGAGAATGTTAGTGGTTAGTAAGGCATAAACTGCCTAGGCCCTAAGTTCAAACCCCACTCCTGGCACGTGTGCGTGCGCACACACACACACACACACACACACACACAAAGTTGGTGCTAAAATATCAGGCTGAGGTTGTTGCCCAATAGTGAACCACCTTCCTCACATGTGGGATTCTCTGGGTTTGATCTCATCATTGTAAAGTAAAAGAGCACTTTGGAATACTACTACTTGGATTTAAATCCTGCCTCTAACAATTCCTCCTTATGCGAGCAGTCAGGGTCTCATGTATCTGTGTGTAATAAAGTGGTACAGTTCCTGCTTGTTGGGGTGGTTGAACAGATTAGTGCACTTCAAGGACACTGAAGAGTCTTGGCTTGAGGTTAGAAACAGCTGGTGGTGGTTTGACTGAGAGTTGGTGGTAGATAGGCTTGGGAGGCCTGTGGTGCACTGAGCCTGGTTTGTTCTAAAAGTGTGAGTCAGCCAGGAGAGGTTGCAGTGGTCAGATAGAGGAGGAAAGTGAGGGGTACAAGAATCCAGGGAGACCCTCCTCTGATTGGGGCTGAGCATGCACACGCTTGCATGTGCATGCAAACCGGTCACATGGCTAGAGCTTTGGGCCTGCCTTCCCTGCAGGCTGTGTGTGAGCGTGGAGGATGCCCAGATGCACACTGTGACCATCTGGCTCACTGTACGACCAGACATGACAGTAGCCTCCCTCAAGGACATGGTAAGTGAGGGTGTTGAAGGGCGATGGGGGTGTTTCTGTTTCTGGTGCATCCTCTCTCTCTGGCCTTCCATTCCCACTCTCCCTCTCGGGGTGCTCCTTCAGGTCTTCCTGGACTACGGCTTTCCACCCACCCTGCAGCAGTGGGTGTTTGGGCAGCGGCTGGCACGAGATCAGGAGACCCTGCATTCCCATGGGGTGCGGCAGAATGGGGACGGTGCCTACCTGTACCTGCTGTCAGCCTGCAACACCTCGCTCAACCCTCAGGAGTTGCAGCGGCAGCGGCAGCTGCGGATGCTGGAAGGTGAGGCCCGGTCCACAGCGAGGCCCTGGCAGGGCAGCCCTTCGGGCCCACGGGCAGAGGATACCACCTGTGGGGAAGAGGGGACACGGGTGTTAGCGAGCATTTCACAGAACCAGTTGGACAACAGCTGGCATGGTATCGGGGGCCAGGTTGACTGCTCCTGTCAAACTTACCAGCTTTGTGACCCCGGGCAAGCTCATTCCTGTCTCTGTTCCTGTTTTCTCTATTTGTAAGTTGAGTGTGAGGCTAATTACAACTAGTGTTCATTCTAAACTTAGTACTTGCGCAGTATTTTAGAGCTGTAGAAAGTTAGAGGATTGTCCAAAGAATGGTACAGATTTCCCATACACCTTTAATGTTAACATTTTACCTCATTTGACTTGCTTTATTTATTTATTTGGGTCCAGTCGTGGAGCCTGAACTCTGGGCCTGGGTGCTGTCCCTCAGCTCTTCAGCTCAAGGCTAGCGCTCTACCACTTGAGCCACAGCGCCCCTTCCCACTTTTTTCTTTTTTGCTTATGTGGTACTGAGGAATCAAACCCAGGGCCTCATGCATGTAAGGCAAGCGCTCTACCACTGAGCCACCTTCCCAGCCCTTGACTTGCTTTATACAAGATAATTTGGGTCATTCTGTGTTCCTCTCTCCTAAAAAATGCTTTGGCATGGATTTCCTTAAAAAGAAGGGTCTCAGTCGGGTACTGGTGGCTCATGCCTGTAATCCTAGCTACTCAGGAGGCTGAGGATCAGGGTTAAAAGCCAGCCCAGGCAGGAAAGTCTTGTGAGACTATCTCTAATAAACCACTCAGAAAAATCTGGAATTGGCACTTTTCTGGTGGATTATTGGAGGCAAGAGTCTCATGGACTTTCCTGCTTGGGCTGGCTTTGAACCTTGATCCTCAGATCTCAGCCTCCTGAGTAGCTAGGATTACAGGTGTGAGCCACCAGCGCTCAGCTTCCAGCCCCTTCTGATCTTGAGACTCCTCTGGTCCTTTGACTCCTGAGCTGACTTTTAAAAGGTCCGGCATTAGCTGGGTGCTGGTGGCTCATGCCTGTAATCCTAGCTACTAAAGAGGCTGAGACCTGAGGATAGAGGTTCAAAACCAGCCCAGGCAGGAAAGTTCCTGAGACTCTTATCTCCAATTAATCACCAGAAAACCAGAAGTGGAGCTATGGCTCAAGTAGTAGAGTGCTCACCTTGAGCTGAAGACCTGAGGGACAGTGCCCAGGCCGAGTTCAAGTCCCATGACTGACCAAAAATAAAAAGTTCTAGCCCTTCCTCCCTTCCTCCCTTCCTTCCTTTATTTTTGTGTCAGTACTGAGGCTTGAACTGGGTCTGGACACTGCCCCTTAGCTTAGTCACTCAAGGCTGGTGCTCTACCACTTAAACCACAGCTCTACTTCTGGCCTATTGGTGGTTAACTGGAGAGAAGAGTCTCACAGACTTTCCTCATCCAACTGGCTTTGAACCTTACTCCTCAGATCTTAGCTTCCTGAGTGGCTGTATTACAGGTGTGAGTCACTTGAGGTACCTACCTGCTTCCTTTCTTTTTGGCAGGAGTGCCCTTGTGAATGGAGTAAGTCTGTGTTTGATCAAGCCTACTTCAGTGTAGTAGTGTCCCTCTCCTGGTGTCCTTTAGGTGGCCTGGGAAGAGCCAGGTGGCACAGTGGTGGGTGCACTAGGGCCAGACCCTGGGGGATCCAGGGTGTCCACCTGACAGGACAGGCTGGAGACAGCCCAGGAAGGAAGGGAGGGTAGCAGGGAGGGCTCTGCCTGGCTGCTCAGGGTGTGGACATGGATCCACTATCCCTTTCCCCTTCAACAGATCTGGGCTTCAAGGATCTCACATTGCAGCCACGTGGTCCTCTGGAGCTTGTCCTTCCCAAGCCTGGTGCCCCTCAGGATCCAGGACAGCCAGGTGCAGAGCCCCCACCAGTAAGTGGCCACCTTCTGTGTTCCTCTGACCCATGTGCCTAGTCCAGCCTCTCTCCACTCACAGCCTGTTGCCTCCAGGTGGGCTGGCAGTGCCCAGGGTGCACCTTCATCAACAAGCCCACGAGGCCCGGCTGTGAGATGTGCTGCAGGGCGCGACCCGAGGCCTACCAGGTGCCTGCATCCTACCAGCCTGACGAGGAGGAGCGAGCACGGCTGGCTGGCGAGGAGGAGGCGCTGCGCCAGTACCAGCAGGTGGGTGCGCATCCGGGGACAGACTGGAGGCGCTGTCTGGGTCTGGAGGGGGACCCACTGCGCCTGGCAGGAGGCCTGGGCAGGAAGGGAGCCAGCTGTACCTACCGCGCCTCTTGCCCCTCTGAGTACACTGCTAGCTGTCACTCTGCACTGACTCTGAACCACCCACTCTGAGGTCACCCTGAGCGCATTCGGTGCCCTTCAGATTCTTCACTTACTCTGCCCCATGTGGGCTGCGTCTCTGCTCCTGCCTTTAATCCCTCCCCCCCTCCCCCCTCCCCCCCCCCGCCCATGTTCCTGGTTGTCACCTCAACACCCCAGCTGTAACTCTGACTGTACTTAGCCATGACCTCACCCCGGTTGTCTGTGACCTTGCTCCTTCTCTACCTAGTGACACCTCACCCTGGACCCCACTCTTACCCCAAGGCTATCCTCTAGTATTGGCTCACCCCTGCCTTCCTGTGACCTGGCTCCCCACTGCCCCCTGGGGTGACACGCCCCGAGTTACCCTGGAATCACGGCTTTGAATCCATGCCCCAACCCTCGCTTTGACTCAGTGTCTGGCCCCATCTGCGATCTGGCTGTGCGCTGGCTTTGCTCCTCCCATTCTGGCTCCACCAAGTGTCCTTACCACCACTCTGCCACCCCTGGCTCACCATTCAAAACCTCTCCTGGCTGACACCCGCAGCAGCTCCAGCCTGGCCCCCCTCCTGCCCCTTGGCCTCCTCAGCTGCCTTCCAGCACCCAGCTTTGCAGTTCCAGCCTACCTCCTCCCCACCCTCTGCCCCTGCTTTCCCCTGCCCGGACTCCTGCCCCACCACCCCAGACCCTGACCCACCCCACGGCCCCGCCCACCCATGTGCCCAGCGGAAGCAGCAGCAGCAGGAGGGGAACTATCAGCAGCATATCCAGCTGGAGCAGAAGAGTCTGGTGCTGAACACGGAGCCCGCTGAGTGCCCGGTGTGCTACTCAGTGTTGGCGCCTGGCGAGGCTGTGGTGCTGCGAGAGTGTCTGCACACCTTCTGCAGGTGCGACCCTGCCCCACGCCCCTGTGTACCCATCCAGGCCCTACCCTAAGTGGATGTATGTGGGTGGGGCTTTGCACTCACCCTTCTGATTGGATGCCCAGAGAACTGCACTGTAGACTCTACCTCTCCAGTTGCAGATGAAAAAGGAGGGGTAGAGAGTGGCCCATTGACTTAGCCGCGGCCGCAGTTCTGAGGGTCAGGGCCTCCTCCCTCACCTGTCCCTTGTCGTCCTGTCTGTGTAAGGGCATGGGGGCCTGCCTGGCAGGCTTACTTCCACCCGTCCTTTGCTGCTGGACAGTTGGCCCCTGTGAGTCTCCTGGGGAGCATTCCCACCCCGGGGCTGGGAAAAGGTGCTCATTCCCCACCGTGGTGGAGCTGCCAGAGTGCCAGTCTCCCTTCCTGCCTCCTGGAGCTGCCATTGTGGTGGGAAGGCCATGTTAACCCCACAGCCACTGGTGCCTGTACTGTACATGGAGTCAGAAATAGTGGTGTCAGAAGTGGTGGTTTTGGTGTGATGGCTTGGCAGCCAGAGGCATGGGAAAAGGGAATTGAAGAGTAACCCAACTGGGAGTGCTTGAAGAGGGGCCCTGGATCAGTCTGTGCCCAGCAAGTGTGGGTGGCCAGCCTGAGCCTAACCCCTGCCTTTCCCTCCCCAGGGAGTGCCTGCAGGGCACCATCCGCAACAGCCAAGAGGCAGAGGTCTCCTGCCCCTTCATTGACAACACCTACTCCTGTCCTGGCAAGCTGCTGGAGAGGGAGATCCGGGCGGTAAGGGCAGGAAGGGATGGGAAGGGAAGGTCTGCAGGCTGGGAGCTGGCGGGCAGCGCTGACTTGTTTGCTGCAGTCCCATTGGCCAAACAGATCACATGGCCAGGAGGCATCTGTGTGGTTGGCACTGCAGCAGCAGGCTTGTGCTGCACCTGTGCACTGTTGACCCTGTGGTTGAGATCATTAACTGCCAGGCTCCCTTGCTGACGGCTGTGCCTAGAGCAGATCTTCTTCCTTCTCTAGGCTTCCATTTCCCTGACCGTAAGGTGGTTGTTGGATGTGATTTCCAACTTTAAAATTGCTGGGAAATGGCCTTTCCAGAACTGGGCATTTTGAGCTCCCTGGCCAAAACATGGAGCCAGGAGGTGGCCTGGGTTTAGAAGGAACACCCAGATTCATATACAAGGCCCCAGGTGTTTTCTATCACTCCTGCCTCTCTTCTGTGACTCTTTCTCCTCAGGACCTCTCCTCCCCAAACCTCCCTAAGTGTTTCCTGGAGGTGAGACGGGGCTTGGCCCAGGGAAGAACCAGGCTCACTCTGACATCAGAGCAGCTCCTGGTCCCTGGAGCTTCTGAGCAGACAACTCTGGCTGCTGGCTGAGGTGGGCTTGCTGTAGCGAGAGACCCTGAGACTGACATTCCTTTTGTTCTTAGCACCATAGTCACAGGCCTCTGGGTTTTCCCAGGAAGTCTGTCTCTGCTAAGGGGACCACCTTGGGCCAGTGTTCATTGAGGGCTGCAGAGCCCTGGGGAGCCATCGGAGCTGACCCAAGCCTCAGCAACATGGAGGGGTCAGGGAGTGGGGAGGCGAGGGTCACGGACTGAGGCAGTTGGTGTTGTTTTTAGAGAAACAACAAGCAACATGCCTAAACCACAGAAAACCAGATCAAACATCAAAAAGGAAAATCACCCACAGTCCTGGGCCCCAGGGAGCCTCTCATTGTATTTTGGCCGGTTGCCCTATGTTTCTGGGTCTACATGTTCTTAATGTCCTCTATTAGAAAATATTTTGCACACAATAAAATAGACCCATTGTAAGTGTGCAGTTGGGTGCGTTTTAACAAATGTAAGCCTCACGACCACCACCCAGTCAAGAGAGAACTTGGGTGTGAGGGTTCCCTCAAGACCAGCAGCAGCACAGCTGCCTCAGTTAGCTGTGCTTCGGAACCTGTGCAGAGGTCATCCCTAGTGGTCAGTGGCGCTGGAGGGAGCCTGCTTGCTCCTCCTCAGCCAGGGCACTGTCTTTGGAAAGGCTGAGGTGGTAGCGCTGTTGCTGCCGCAGCACTATTCTTGTGGACATATGTACCAGGATAACGATTTCCCCACACTCCTCACATTGTTCATTGAAATTTTGTCCATTTTCCTTTTACTGTGGTCAGATAAACATAACATTTAATTTATTGTTTTGTTTTGTTGGTACTGGGATTGAACTCAGGGCTTCACACCTGCTAGGCAAGTGATCTTTTTGCTTCAGTTTGCTTTTCAGAGTCTTATGTTTGCTTGTTTGTTTTGTTTTATTCTGGTCCTGGGGTTTGAACTCAGTGCCTGGGCACTGTCCTTGAGCTTTTTTGCTCAATGATGGTGTTTTCCCACTTGAGCCACAGCTTGAACTCAGGGCCTAGGCATTGTCCCTCAGCTCTTCAGCTTAAGGGAAGCACTCTACCATTTGAGCCACAGTGCCATTTCCAGTTTTTTGGTGGTTAATTGGAGATAAGACTCTCACGGACTTTCCTGCCTGGGCTGGCTTTGAACTGTGAGCCTCAGATCTCAGCTTCCTTAGTTAGGATTATAGGCGTGAGCCACTGGTTCCCGGCTGAGTCCTATGTTTTTATCCAGACTGTCCTGGGATCTTGGTCCACCTACCACAACTCTCCAACTAGCTGGGATAGTGCGTGCTCCACCACATCTAGCCCCATTTGAACCACTTTTTTTTTTTTTTGGGTCCAGTAGTGGGGCCTGAACTCTGGGCCTGGACGCTGTCCCTCAGCTCTTCAGCTCAAGGCTAGCGCTCTACCACTTAAGCCACAGCGCCACTTCCGGCTTTTTTTCTTTTTGCTTATGTGGTGCTGAGGAATCGAACCCAGGGCCTCGAGCATGCAAGGCAAGCGCTCTACCACTGAGCCGCCTTCCCAGCCCATTTGAACCACTTTTAAGTGCACAGTCAAGGCATTGCTGTGGAGCCGTCACCTCCCTCGTCTTCAGAGCATTAGCCTTTCTGGGTGACATTTTTAAGCATAGGAGGGTTGGGTGAAGAGCCGAGTGTGGGCTGGGTGGAATTGAGGGACTAGGCTAGGCTTGTAGAGTGTGCTTGCTGGAGGAAGGTTGGCTGTGGGGTTTCTGAGCTCGAATGAGCAGAGCATGCATATCCGTGGCAGCTCCTGTCCCCTGAGGACTACCAGCGCTTCCTGGACCTCAGCGTCTCCCTGGCAGAGACCCGCAGTGCATTCAGCTACCACTGCAAGACCCCCGACTGCAGGGGCTGGTGCTTCTTTGAGGATGATGTCAATGAGTTCACCTGTCCCGTGTGCTTCCACGTCAACTGCCTGCTCTGCAAGGTGGGCAGGATCTGCTGCCGCCATGTCCTCACCCAGCTAGCTCACGGCACTTCCTGCTCGGTGCCCTGGGAAGGTAGCCCTGTGGGGTCAGGGAGAGGCCCCGGCCCCGGCCCCGGCCCCAGCAGGTTCCTCAGCACTACATAGGCCTGACCCAGTACAGAGCACTAACTGAGCCCCATCCTGAGCTCTGATCCTGGACCAAGAGTCCAGACCCAGTTATCCACTGAATCTTGGTCTCCATTGTGCAACATCCCTGTCCAGGTTCCAGATGAGCCCCTGCTCCAATCTCAGCCTGCGCCCTGGCGCTGGACCAAGTGCTTAACTTGGCCCCCATGGAAGCCTAGCTCCAAACCATACTTCAACCCTAATCTGAACTGAGCTCTGACCTCAAACCCAGACAGCCCTGCCTGATCTTCCCTAGGCCGCTTTGGCTGTGTGCCCTTGGAAGCCACCCACTAAGGGGCAGCATTCTCTTGGGTCGTCCCTGCTTGTGGCTCTCTGTGCCCTCTTCTGAACTGTGATGGACACAAGGCCAGCCTGGGCTACATAGTGAGAAGCTGTCTCGAAACAAAAAGCTTTGTGTCCTGTGTCCTTGCCTTGCCCTGCCCTGCCCCTCTCTTCCCCTCCCCTCCCCTTTTCCAGCTTCCTTAAAAAAAAAAAAAAAAAAAAACCCTTTAAAAAAAATGGTTACTATAAAGGTGATTTACATGGGGTTACAGTTGTCTAAGTCAGGTAGTAAGTACATTTCTTTCTGGACAAGTCACACCTTCCTTGTTCTCTCCCAGTTTTTCCCTCCTGTCCACCCACAAGTTGTATAATTCATCTTCAACAGTGTTTAGTGAGTACCACTTCTAGTAGCTTTTTTTTTTTTGAAATATCTTTTATTTTTTTTCTTTTTGCTTATGTGGTGCTGAGGAATCGAACCTAGGGCCTCAGGCATGCAAGGCAAGCACTCTATACTGAGCCACCCCAGCCCTTTATTTTATTTTTTATTTATTTTTTTGTGGGGCTTGAACTCTGGGCTTAGGTGCTGTCCATGCGCTCTTCAGCTCAAGGCGAGCGCTCTACCGTTTGAGCTACAGTACCACTTCCAGTTTTCTAGTGGTTTATTGGAGATGAATCTCATGGAGTTTCCTGCCTGGGCTGGCTCTGAACCGTGATCCTCAGATCTCAGCCTCCTGAGTAGCTAGGATTACTGGTGTGAGCCACCGGCGCCCGGCTTTTTTTTTTTAAGTACCAGTCCTGGGTCTTGAACCCAGGGCCTGGGCACTGTCCTACTTGAGCTGCTAGAACTGTTCCACTTGAGCCACAGTGTCATTTCTGGCTTTTTCTGAGTATGTGGTACTGAGGAATCAAACCCAGGGTTTCATGCATGCTAGGCAAACACTCTACCCCTGAGCCACCTTCCCAGCCCCTTCCAGCTCCTTAATTGAGCCCTGGGGAAGCTTCTCTCACCCAGAGTCCCCCACTCCTGCAGGCCATCCACGAGCACATGAACTGCAAGGAGTATCAGGACGACCTGGCCCTTCGGGCTCAGAATGACATGGCTGCCCGGCAGACGACGGAGATGCTGAGGGTGAGGCAGGGCCAAGGGCCAGGGGGTCTGAGAGCTGGGGCTGAGAAAGGGCCACGTTTGTAAGTTTCTGGAGGCCTGGCCCTCCCGGCCACACTCGTGTTTGGAGATGGGAGTCAGCCAAGAGGCCCGGTGGAAGTGGGAAGAGGGCCCGGTGGGGAGGACTGCTGTAAACCCAGCAGGGCGACACTGCTCCCTGGGAGTGGCCCGCTTAGCACCTGCCTTGCCCCAGGTGATGCTGCAGCAGGGCGAGGCCATGCACTGCCCGCAGTGCCAGATTGTGGTGCAGAAAAAGGACGGCTGCGACTGGATCCGCTGCACGGTGTGCCACACGGAGATCTGTTGGGTCACCAAGGGCCCGCGCTGGGGCCCGGGCGTAAGTCCCCCAGGAACAGGGCTGGGGTTGGCCTTAGAGGGAGCTTGGAAAACTACAGCCCATAAGCCAAACGGAACCGACTGCCTGTGTTGTACAGCTCCCGAGCTCTGCACTATTAGGACTTAAGTAGTTTGGACATATCAAAAGACTAAGTGCAAGTGGTTTTTGCTTATATTAGCTCAAGAAACTGAGATCCAGAGGGCCAAGATTCAAAGCCAGGACAGAAAGTTTGTGAGACTTTGTCTCCGAAATAACCAGCAAAACCCAGTCTGGAAATGTGGCTCAAGTGATAGAGTGTCAGAAGAGCAAGCAAGCAGAGCCAAAAGTGCAAGACCTTGAGTCAAAACCGTAGGGCTAGGGGGCTGGGAAGGTGGCTCAGTGGTGGAGTGCTTGCCTTGCATGCATGAGGCCCTGGGTTCGATTCATCCGTATCACATAAGCAAAAAGAAAAAAACCAGAAGTGGCGCTGTGGCTCAAGTGGTAGAGCGCTAGCCTTGAGCTGAAGAGCTGAGGGACAGCGCCCAGGCCCAGAGTTCAGGCCCCATGACTGGACCCCCCCCCCCAAAAAAAACCCCAAAAACTGTAGTGCTAGCAAAATATAAAATGGTGTAATACTTCATAGTGTAAAAATTGTTTATTCTATATAACCCAGGACCATTGCTAGACAAACACTCTACCTACTTGAGCCATGTCTCTAGCCTCGAAAACATAAAATCCCTGACATGGGAACAGTAGCAGGGCCTGTCTCAGGCTTCTCCTTAGAATCAAGGGAGGAAAATGCGGAAGTACGTAGCAGGGGGCCCGTCACCCGGGAGCACCTCGCGTGGAGGCTGGCGTCGCTTGTGTTCTGCGGGAGGCGGGGGGGGGGGCCCTCCCGCGGCCCTCTGCTGGGGGGGGGCCCTCCCGCGGCCCTCTGCTGGCTGTCCATACATGCAAGGCCCAGCTACTCGCTTCTGCTCTTGGCCAGGGGGCTGAGGCGGCTCAGAAAGGGCTCCGTGGTGGCTCCCAGCAGGCAGGCAGGATGAGGGGGCGTCCTTGGAGAGGCTGCTCTGGGGGGAGGACCTTTGGGACCGTGGTGAGGGGGGGAGGGGGAGGAGGTGTGCCTAGTCTGGGCTGATGGAGTGGTCACCACCTTGACTCCTCTTCTCTCTGTCTCAGGGCCCAGGGGACACCAGTGGGGGCTGCCGCTGCAGGGTCAATGGAATTCCTTGCCACCCCAGCTGTCAGAACTGCCACTGAACCGAAGATGGCGGGACTCCACACCAATCCAGCCTTACATCTGTAGGCAGTTGCTGGGCAGGTCTGGGCCTGGAGCTTTGGCCTTGCTTTTGATTTCTGGCCTGTGAGAGGCCTCTGTGCTTGGCATGGCGAGGCCTGCACTGCATGGACGGCATGCTCATCACGGGTCTCGCAAGGACTAGCCCGAGTCGGCTGTTGTCCACAGTCACATCTGCCCCAGTGCCTTTGCCTTTCCTCGGGGCTCGCTGGCTGGACCTCTTAGTGCTCTTGGCAACTCTCTCCTCTGCCTGATGCCAGCCTTGAAGCAGCCCCTGGCCAAAGGTCTCACTGGCTGGAGCCTCTGAGCTTCCGTAACTCCATTCTCCTCCCGTGTCACCTTTGCCCCGGACACAGAGCCCCTGCTGTCTCCCCTGCTTGTCCATTTTTGGGGTAACTTTGCTCTGCTGTTGTTATTGGAGGCTTGGTGCCTCTGAGAGCTGCTGTGAACCTGTTCAGAGCCAGAGAGAGACCGGGCAGGACTGAAGCACAGCGCATTGACCCAGCGCTGTCTCCTGTTCTGCCACTTGAAGTGAATTAAAATGGTTTTCCAGGAGGGAATGTGGACTGTCCTTGAAGGGGTGACTGTCGTGGGCCCCGTGTGGAGGTCTCTGGGAATGGGTCTGTTGTTTTCAGTAATGGGGCTGACCATGCAGGGAGGCTGTGGCAGACCTGGCACACCTGCGCCCAGCTTCTGGGACAGGCAGTTTGCAGGTCAGTCTGTGGTGCAGGGCTGGGGGTCAGCTGGGTAGAGAGAGGGAAACGGAGGTTGCTGCCATGGAGGGGGCCAAGGTGGCCCAATCTACCATCAAGATGGCTTTGATAACCTCCCCCCCCCCCCAAAGGCTGTCACTCTGCTACATGGTGCCCACTCAGAAAAGCTGACCCAGGCACCCTGAGCAGACCGCAGAGCAAGGGGCGGGGTGCCTTCACCTCGCATTGAGGGCAACTAAGTAGCTTCCCTGCAGCACTGAGAGGAAGCGGCAGAGCCATCCCAGGTCCTGCCACACACCTGGGCTGTGCGCCCACAGCCTTCGTGCTGGAGTCACGTGTCGTCTCCTTTTGCCCTTGCAGAAGGTGTGGGGCTGACCCCAGTTGGGATCCAGCAATACAACCCCAGCACTAGCTGGTGTGGGTACCAAGTGCCACAAGTGAAAGGGCTGGCCCAGCGACTGCCCAGCCTCAGATGCCCACCAGATGGGGCGCCTGGGGACACACTTCTGCCTGTCCTGGGGCTGCCAGACTCCCAGGCTCAGTAATGGACTTGGTGCATGCAGAAGCAGCCAGATGGGAACAAGGTGGGGTAGGGGCTTCCATGATCTCTGCCCCACTCCCCTAGAAGCTCAGCTCCACCCCAGACAGCCCCCTAACCGCCTGGTCTTTCTGGTGAGCAGCCCCACCCTAAGGCTGCCCACTGTAAGGTCCCACTTTAGGTCACCTAATTAGTCTGTCTCAAGTGGGACCAAAGGGATTGGTAAGGGCAACAAGACACTGGTCTTCCACTTCTTGGAAAAATAACCGAAGCCCTAGACCCTGGCCCCTGGTCTCACCCCAGCTACTCATTGTCTGCACAGCCCTCCAGGGTGAGCCAGAGGCAGACTGCTCACTGTAGCCCATTGCCCATGGCTGCCACATCAAGGGCAGCATGGCATGGTGGGAGGTAACATTAAAGAAGTCCTGTCAGGCAGCCCTGGGTCCTCACACCGCCCCTCAGCGCCAGAAGACATCCATGAACACCTGAAACAACCCAGCTGGGACTGGCAGGCCTGTTCGAATAGCAGGGAACACTGAGGCTGCTGGTGGCTGGACAAGAACAGAAAACTGGGAGTGTGTGTGTGTGGGGGTTGCCCCCAGAGCTGACATAGGCAAGTCAGTCTTTCACAGGAACTGCAGGGTGGCCCATGGTCTCCTGGAAAGTCAAGGCCCACCAGGGACGCACAGACCACAGCTCCAGCCTGCCTGCAGTGCAGGGTAGCAGGCCTGTTCTCAGCAAGCTCCAGGCTACCAGAGGACAAAGGATTAGTTACCACATATGGCTCTTTATTTCATACAGGGCTCTGTACAAAATATTTACACATATTCTTTACAGAATAAGTAAATCACCTGAAGGTAAACAGGTAATGCTTTCTCCTCAGTGGCAGGGAGAGGCCTGATGTGAGCAAAGCCATGGAAAACTCTGCTTCCCAGGCCACAGCATAAACCCCACCTGCTTCCTAGGACACCAGCATGAAGCTCTCCTCCCTTGCTCTCTCCACCCCTGTCCAAGTACTTTACAGAGAGGACAAGGCTGCCATGGGAGAACACAGGATGTCTGCCACAATGCCACCTCTGCGTCCTTTGTCCACTTCCCAGCCAGCCCAGGCAGGACCGCACATGGGGAACGACCCACCGTGCGCTTGTTTTGGCTTTAAAGTGCTTTGTGTAACTCAGCAGATAGCCAGCTGCCTGGCGTGCCAAGAGCCAGGCACTGGCACACGGGGAGGGTGTGGAATTGTGGCCAGGGCAGGCGCAGTGCTACTGGCACGTTCACCAAACCACCTGCCATGAGAGCGGTGCCCAGAAAAGAATGGGGAGCCAGAAGCACACGCTGCTCTGCATACACCCTCCTTTAGAGCAGCAAAGGCACTTTGTTTTCCAAGCCAGAGTTCATGGAGAAATCAACCTGGCTTTGCTTACAGGAAAGCTGTCCCAGAAGGACTGAGTGACCCCAGTTCCCAGGGCCTCGAGGGCCCTTGGGGCAGGGCAGCTGTGTGGGCTCCTGCTAGCGCTTGAGGCTACCCATCTGCCCTTTGCTGGGTGCCAGTAAGTTTCCAATGACATTCCCAACTAGGCAGAGACTGGCAGTTGAGATAAACCCAAAGACAAGGTGAAAGAAGTGAGTGGTACCTACTGTTGGAAAATGGGGAAAGAAAGGAAATGGGCCAGGACACTGGGAATGCCACCAAGGCAAAGGGGAAGTGTCACACAGCTGAGCAGAAAGTAACTTCAGGATCTGCTCATCCTTCTGAGGAGAAGCATTTCTTCCATGAAGGAACTATTATTTTTATAAAGTGAGACTATCTTATGTGTCAGGTGTATAGAATTCTAAAAATAGTAATAAAAGTATCTTTTCTAAGTAAAGTTGCTTGTGGAGAATGAGAAGGTAGACAAAACCAGTCTAAGCAAGACTATTCCTCACTAGACTGGGAATGCCCACATGATTCCTGGACTGACACAGGAACGAGCTAGTAATCTACTTCCCACCTGACTCTGGATCTAACCAGCCATTGAAGCTGCTCTTAGGAGAGAATGAGGCCCTGGCAGGAGGCTGGGCTCCCTGGCTGGTTTCTTCAACCCCTTCACTTTCATTCCAAGGCCCCACCTGAGTAGCCCCTTCCTTCCTGTCTGACTGAGCATCCAGAATCAGCTCACTTTCTACCTGGCAGCCTAGAGACTCCCAAGAGCCAGGGAAGCCCAGCCTCCCCTTCTCCGGTGTGGGGAGGCTGCAGGGCACCCAGGTCCACTGCGGGTGGCAGGTTGGTTCTGCTGCTGCACTGCTGCCCAAGCCAAGGCAGCCACGAACAGGCAGGCAAGGGTGCACGAACAGATCACCCTGGCAGAAACCCTTTTAATCAAGGCAATCCAGCCTCCCAGTCCTCCCACGGAGGGTGAGGCCTTTGCTGTACTGGGCGAGGAAGTAGCTCTTCTGGCCAAATTCAGGGGAACAGCTGCAGCTGAAACTTCGGGGCCCACTCCAGGGCACTCTTTACCACGGCTAGCGCTGCCGCCCCCAGGGCCACCGTGAGCCCCATCACTGCCAGTTTCACAAAGCGGTTGGTCCTTGGTTTGGTCAGGACATCTTTTGTTTGAGCCTCAGGTTGCAGAAGTCCCCGAAAGCGCTGCCTCAGCACCATGTCTGGCCTTTGCTGGGCCGATGCCAGCTCAAAGTCTTTGAAGGTAGAGGCTGCCATTCTAGGGGAAGGAAGAAAGGAGGCACTATGGGCACCAGTGGGCAAGGAAAGGAGCTGGGATGCACAGCACTGAGCGCGCTGACAAGAGCCACAGCCTCGAAGGAGGGGACTCCTCCAGACGCAGCACCTGGGCAGACCCCCCAGCGCAGACACCAGCCCTCAAAGGCACCCCACCTCCTCGGGGGCCCCTCACCTCTCAGCCTGCTGCTTGGCAGCTGCCTCACGTGCAAGTTCCGAAGGTGGAAACTGAAGGAAAATATCTCCCGCTCTGCTGATGAGTGTCTCGTAGGGCAGGTCCTGAGGGATCTGCGACAACAGGTGGTGGACTGAGGCCATGTCACAGTCACAGTCCAGGACTTCTTGCTCACGATACAACACGATCTGCGGGGAGGAAGGCCTTGCCTCAGACACTTGACAAATGGGGCCCAGGCACCCGCCTCTCAGCCTCCACTGATAGGACACTCAGCAAACTTTGTGTCCACCAAGGAAGAAGTAAAGCAGAGTCTCGGCGCTGATCACCCCACTGACAGAGCTGCACACAGGGGCCCCAGCCTGGGGAAACACAGTCTTGCACGTTCCCTATGGCTTGCAGCAGGTACCTACCACAGCTGCGAAGTAAATGGGCATCAATGGGTGGCAGGCCAGGAAGAAGTCATATAACCGCACGACATGCCGGAAGTCCATCAGCACGTGCCCAAACCAGGTGATGAGCCAGCTGAGGGCAAAGATGGTCCCCACCTCAGCACTAGGAGCGAAGGAAAATGAGGTGTTAGGCTCCCCGCTGGGCCATTCCCCCCTCCCCGCTCCTGGGCCTTCTTTGTCCTTAGCACTGATGAGAAAGAAGCATTTGGGAAAGTCTGCCATGTAGGGATTCAGCATCTCTTCACAAAATACAATGTTTTAAAAATGTGCCACGAGGGCTGGGCATCAGTGGCTCACACCTACAATCCTAGCTACTAGGAGGTAAATTGTCCAGACTCTTATGTCCATTAATCAACTGAAGTTGGAAGTGGAGGCCTGGCTCAAGTGGAAGAGCACTAGCCCCGAGTGAGACACAAGGCCCTGGGTTAAAAACCCAGTAGCAGCACAACTGCAACAAAAAGAAACAAAGAAACAAACCCAGTAGCATGAGGTTGGAGATGTACCACTGGTAGAACACTTGCTTCGTATGCGAAAAGCCCAGAGTCTGATCCCAGCATCACAAAAATAAATAAAATATAAATATAAACAAAATCGTATCTCCTCTCACTGGGTACTCTTTTTGTTTTGGGCTGGTCCTGGGGCTTAGGTTCTGTTCCTGAGTGGCTTCTGCTTAAGGCTAGCACTCTACATGTGAGCCATAGTTCCGCCACCAGCTTTTTTTTGGTAATTTATTGGCAATAAGAGTCTCATGGCCTTTTCTGCCCAGGCTGGCTTTGAACCACAATCCTCGGATCTCAGCCTCCTGAGTAGCTAGGATGATAGGTGTGAGCCACTGGAGCCTAGCTACTGGGTGCTCTCCTAATGCTTAACTAAGGAACAAGGAGTTGCCATGCACAAAGATGCTGAGGCTTTCCTTGAGAGTCTACTCTTGGGTTTTTTTTTTCATTTAACTGTATTGTGAAGACGCTGTACAGAGGTCACAGTTACAGTAGCGCAATGAGTACGTTTCTTGTCAAGCATTCTACCCCTGTCCTTGGTTCTCTCACTATCCCTTCCCTCTCTCACCTCCCTCATTCCCCCCTACCCCAGAGTTGTAAAGTTCATTTCCAATATACTGTCTTGTGGGAATCATGAGAGTCTACTCTACTGAGGGCACAGGCACATCTTTCCAGGCTTAAAAGTAATTTCGGTGGTATGAGGCCACTGCGCTGTCTGGAGTAGGGTACCTCAATAGTACACACTTGCTTGGCATGTGCTAGGACTTTTCAGCAGCATGGAACCAAACATCCCAAACCGTAAGTTACCCCCTCCTCCCTCTCTCTTTTTTTTTTTTTGTTGGTCATGGGCCTGAACTCAGGGCCTGGGTGCTGTCCTGAGCTTTTTCTGCTTAAGGCTTTAAGCCACAGTGCCACTTCTGATTTTCTGGTGGTTAATTGGAGATGAGTCTCACAGACTTTCTTTTCTTTTCTTTAAGTTTTCCTTCCTTCCTTCCTTCCCTCCTTCCCTCTCTCCCTCCCTCCCTCTCTGTCTCTGTCTCTCTCTCAGTTCTAGGGCTTGAACTCAGGGCCTGGGCATTGTCACTGAGCTTCTTTTGCTTAAGACTAGCACTCTACACTTGAGCCACAGAGCCACTTCCAGCCTTTTCTGTTTATGTAGTCCTGAGGAATCAAACCCAGGGCTTCATGCATGTTAGGCAAGCACTCTACTAAGCCACATTCCCAGCCCCTCTCACTGATTTTCTTGCCTACTCTGGCTTTGAACTGTGATCCTCAGACCTCAGCCTTTTGAGTAGCTAGGATTACAGGTATGCACCACCAGTGCCTGACTCTTTTCCTCCCCTTTAATCTATGACTTCTGCAAAGAACTATTTCTTAGTACTTGGAAGATGAACCTGCCCACAGTGGCTGTCTTTCCTTCCACCTCCAGGGCTTTGGCGGTTGGGGCAGAAATATGAAAGTCTGTGTTCGCCTACCTGCCTGTCCACCTCTACTCACTACAACTAAACTCAAGCCATGGCCCTACCATCCTTTTTTGCATTCCCCAAACAAAACTGCATAGTCCTCAAACAGGGCTCTGATACTGTGTGCTGAACTCATTATTCAGACTGGAAAGCAACTTGAAGCAACTAAATAAATCAAGGAAAGATGGTGATAAAGCTGAACTGGGTTTGGAGAAGAACTGAAGGAGGGGTAGTGCCAAGTAGGGCTTTGATGTATGGACACACAGACATACCTCTGCATGAAGTCATGGAGTTCCGGGTTCACCTGGTCAATGATGGGCATCAGATAGTTTAAAATGTGCTTGGTGTTGTCCATCGTGGGGTCCATGAAATCCCTGCAGGGAGACAACCCAGTGAGCATGGTTGGGTCCTGCACCTCGGCAGTGGGTGGGTGGTATGCGTCCAAACCATTCAAACACCTGACTAGAAAATGGGCCAGGAGTTTTCGTACAGGGCATGTGTACCTGAGGTGGTGGGTAGACAGTTTTTCCACCAGCGATGTTGCCAGCCTCTCACCCACCACTAGCAGGAAGGTGACCACGATGTCATGGTAGCCCTGGTAGTAGTGCAGTTGGGGGTTGCGCTCCAAAACTAGGAGGATGATGTCGATCAGCTCTTCCTGGAGCCCTTCTCGCTCTTCATCTGGCATGCCTGGGGACGGGGTGGGGTGGAGGGTATGTTTGAACACTGGATATCACCCAGTAACAAGGATGTTAAGAAGAAGGGCCAGTGATTTCCAGCAAAAGTGTCCAGTAAGAGAAAATAAAGCAAAAGTAAGTTGAGGACATCTTGCAAGATCCGCATGGTGCATACATAATCCTGAATCACATGAAGAAGGGCCAGAAAGGGGCTGGGAAGGTGGCTCAGTGGTAGAGTGCTTGCCTTGCATGCATGAGGCCCTGGGTTCGACTCCTCAGCACCACATAAGCAAAAAGGAAAAAGCCGGAAGTGGCGCTGTGGCTCAAGTGGTAGAGCGCTAAGCCTTGAGCTGAAGAGCTGAGGGACAGCGCCCAGGCCCAGAGTTCAGGCCCCACGACTGGACCCCCCCCCAAAAAAAAGAAGGGCCAGAAAAACTCAAAGGAAGGGATGTTCAGCAGAACAATTGGCCTGCCATAAAATATAAAGGAATGGTTACCAATTAAGGGAAGCTGAGAGATCTGACAACTGCTGGGTGTGCTGGTGGCTACTTGTTCATTGTAGCGCTTGGGAGGCTTAGGCAGGAGTTTAGGCTATCTAGACTGTCTCAAAAAAAAACAAACAAACAACACATTGAGGACCAAGAGTCGTGGCATATGCCTGTAATTCCAGCTAGCTAGTGGGCAGAGATCAGGAGGACTGTAGTTTGAGGCCACAACGGGCAAAAAAGTTAGGCAGATCCCACACCAATAAGCCAGGTATGGAGGTGTATGCCTGTAATCCCAGGTATATGGGAAGCACAGATTAGATTATTGCAGGGTGAGGTCAGCTCCTGGCAAAAAAAAAAGATGAGGCTATCTCTGAAAAATAACTAAGGTCAAAAAGGGCTAGGCACGTGACTCAAGTGGTAGAGTCCCTGTCCAGCAAGGTCGAATCCCTGAGCTCAAACCCCAGTGCTGGCAAAAAACACAGATGATACTGAACAGGCAATACATGAATTTGTATTTCTTCTTCACACAAAGGATATTACTAGGATAAATAGTGAAAGCTGAATAATTCTGCAGATCGCTAAGAACACTTTTCATTGTTTCACTGATCTTGCTAACTGTGCTGTCTTGGGTAAAGCGTCTATAGCTGTTTACTCTTATGCAGAACACAATGAGATTTCTCTGTGTGGAGAAGAGAGCAGTTAAAACAGAAATGGTAATATGTTCACACAAAGAGACCTGGGAAAAAGGAATTCTTTGCCCTATTTTGCAACTTTTGGGGATGAAATTACATTTTAAAGGATATAAAATTATAAATGGCAAAAGTTGTGTTTCCCTCTAAAGAAAACTATTGCAGGAAGGCCTCATCTGCCCCAAGCTGCAGCCAAGAGCGGGGACACACTCAGCGACTCCAAGTGTGGGGCCGTGTGCCCTGCCGGGCAGTGCGGTTCCTCAGCCCACCTAGCTTCCCTTCCGTCTTCCCTTTTCATTGTTATTATTGAGGAGTTGTACAAAGAGATTACAATTCCTTAAGGAATGAGCACAATGAGCCCAATTCTCAAAAAATGTCACCCCTTCCCTCACTTTCCCCCATAGTACACACTGAACACAATGACCGCACTCACTTACGCTCATCTGGATTTCAGTGCCATGGCTAACCTGCTCTGCCTGAGTTAGTGTAGAACAAAGATAAGGCCAAAAGCTCACTTAGCCTGAGAGCCAAAGGTGCCAGGCCAAAGCGGCAAGCCTGACTGGGTCAAATCCTGCCTCTCCCAGGCACTTCTGGAGCTGGGGTGAACCTGGACCTCAAGGCCCAGCTAACTGAAATTAGTAATGGCCAGAAAACTAAATTATAAATGATAAATTTTGTTCCAGCTCCTCTACCAAAATCTTTCCAGAAGATGCAACTCTGGCTAGCATATGATAGAAAGGAGTTCATTGGGAAGCGAGTGGTCTTAATAAACAGCGTAGAGAGCTCTGTCTATGCCAACTTGAAAAGCCCATGATAGAGGAGCAAAATGGTCCCCAGTGGCCCATGCTGACATCCATGCACACCGACACCCCAAGGGACCCAGACTTTGCAAGAGAGTCACACTGATGGCAGCTGACTCACAGGGCTCATGTGGACGAAGCACGGCAGAGCAACGTGCAGCCAGATGAAAGGGAAGGATGTCCACTGTGAATTCCCAGTTTGAACCCCATTTGGGTAGACCTGGAGCCTCACGGACGGCGGTGGAAGCTCGGCCTTCCTGCACTGCTGACTCTGCTCTCATAGGAAAACACCCAAAGAGCCAAAGCCAAGCAAAGGCCCAGCTCACACTGAATACAGAGCCCTTCTCCCAAAGAGCATACTGTCAGAGATACATAAGAACCCAAAGTCAGCCAAGAACCCGAGGTAAAATAACGAAGCAGAGGAGTAAAAATTAAGGCCTGTTTGAGACAGGAATGGAGAAAGAAAGTACAACAGAAAGAATCTGAGGCACAGATGTGACAAAAACAGGAGAGAAGGAAAAGGGGGTGCCCAGGGAAAGAGGGGAATACATCTATCCAGACCAGCAGGGCAAGAAAAGGAGACTGGACTACGGCCCAGGTTTTATCCAAACTAAGTTAGCAGTCAACAGGAGGCGTGAGAGTCCCAGAGCGACAGGGGCAGGGATGAGGCAGTAAAGGCTAGGTGAAGCATCTGTGAAGACAGAGGGACCAGGTCCCACGGAGGAGGCCTGAGGCTGGCTCCTCTGCTCTGCTCCCTGGGAAGCAGGAGGCAGTTTTAGGAGCAGACTCCATAAAGCATGAGGGAAGGGTCTCCCTTCCCGTCCCACTTAAAGATGGAATTCCAAACCCACATGCCTCTCAACACCAGACCATGGCCCTAATAATCCCTATCAAGTGGCTCTTATGGTGTGAAGGAGACACGAAGACCAGCCCCTCGCTCTCTCATGACCACCTCTGGGGCGGGCTATCACAGTGGAAGGTGAGGGGATGCCAACTTGGGGACAGCAAATACAGGGGGACAGGAAGCTTTACTCGAGATGGGGCAAGATGGAACAGCTTCTCACCAGGGGGAAAGCGCCGTAAAGACCGCCTGACATCCAGCAGCACCTGTTGGTAGTCCTTGCTCATCTGCCGCAGGTCCTTTCCTAGAGGAAGGGGAATGCGTTACTGCAGGAATGTCTGCGAAGCTGGAGGGGGAGCTAAGGGACCTTGGGCTGTGAATATCATTGCTCTGTGGGAAAGCACTTGCCTCGTACACACAGGCCTGGAGTTGGATCCCCAGCATCCCTGCCCCCAAACCTAACATCTCTTAGCTCTGAAATTCTACCAGCAAGGCACTGTAAAGCGGAGGCTGGAACTAAAGGCAGGAGGGAGCTGTTGCTAACACATCCACACGGGGGCGCTTTCCTCAGCCCACACTGAAGGGCAGCAGAGGAGCCTGCAGCACCCCGCCTCACCTCATCGGGAGTGTGACAGCAGCGCAGCCCTTGGGACTGAGTGGGACATGCCAGTGCCTTTGCCTTCCAACGAAAAGCTGACCGCTCTGAGGCCACCAATTCCAAAGAACGTGGCGGTGACAGAGCAGCCCCCACATGGGGGCATCATGCCACTGTGAATCTGCTGGCGAGAGGGTCACCTCCAGCTCCCGGCACACAGCGGGAGTCCAAAGATTTGCCAAGTAAATGACAGAATCTCCAGCCACTGGCATTCTGCCCCAAGAGCAGGGAAGCAAGAAAGGGAACGGGGTGAGGGTGAACAGCCACATGGCGACAGTGCGTTCCTTTGTCTTTCCAGCTGTAGCCCAGGGAGCTTTCACTACCTGACTCTGCAAATGAGTGAAGTAACAGCTTTCAGAGCAATTACTGAATACTGCAATGCCAAAGGACTGTTGTATTTCCCAATAAGGCTTTTGCTATACATTTCTCAAAATGTATTACCACTGCCCAGAGCCCAGCTCAACTCTGACAACCAGCCTGGACTCAAGTAAATCCTGCCTGGCCAGAACTTCATTTCAGTGCTCTTCACGTGGGCACAAGCATTTCCTACATGTTCCCACTGAGTCATCCGCTCCTGCTCCAAGCCCAGGCATCAAAGCTCCTCGGGTTCTCTCCCGGCTTCTGGGCAGGCTTCCCTTACCTGACTGAGGAGGCGGGTCACTGATGTTGACATTGAGGAGCTTGGGCCACACTTCCCGTCTGATCTCATCTGTCAGGAGCCCGCCTTCACTGATAGCCATGCGTCTGAGGGCAGCCACGTCGGTGGGATCACTATTCAGGGCCTGGTATATCTCTGCCACTTTCTTTTTGTTTTTGGCATTAAAATCTGGAGGAGGAAAAGAAAACATGAATGTGAGTGGAGGATGAGGCACACATTAGCAGGACTACCTTTGTATGTGGGCTCCATCTCCTTATTTGGTAGGAGATGAGGCAGGCATGTCTTCTTAGCTTGGAGGGCATAGGCTGGCATCACAGCTCCGAGCCAGCAGCATTACCAATTTTAGGCTGTGTGCCAAATCTAGGGTGGGGACAGGACACATAGTAAAATAGACTTCACAAGTCACCTCCTTTTTTTTTTTTTGGTCAGTCGTGGGGTTTGAACTATGGGCCTGGGCACTGTCTCTGTGCTCTTCAGCTCAAGGCTAGCACTCTACCACTTGAGACACAGCGCCACTTCTGGTTTTCTGGTGGTTAATTGAGATAAGAGTCTTATGGAAGCCTGGCGTCAGTGGCTCACACTTGTAATCCTAGCTACTCAGGAGGCTGAGATCTGAGGATCACAGTTCAAAGCCAGCCTGGGCAGGAAAGTCTGTGAGATTCTTACCTCTACTAAACCACTAGAAAACCGGAAGTGGCACTGTGGCTCAAGTGGTAGAGCACTCGTCTTGAGCTGAGGAGCACAGGGAAAGCGCCCAAGCCCCACGACTGACCAAAAAAAAAAAAAAAAAAGACTTTCCTGCCCAGGCTGGATTTGAGCTGTGATCTTCAGCTCTCAGCCTCCTGAGTAGCTGGGATTATAAGCGTGAGCCACCGGCGCCCAGCAGTCTCCTCCTTTTGAAAAGATGATCTTGTTCCTATAGGTCTGAACTGGTAATCACAGGCATAATCCAGAATAATTTATGGTGGGCTTTGACAGAGTGTTACTATAGAGACTAAACTGGCCTGAATGTACAATCCTATGTTTGTTTGTGCCAGTACCTGAGCTGCAACTCAGGGCCTGAGCACTGTCTCTTTTTTTCAAGGCTGGTGTTCAACACTTGAACGACAGCTCCTCTTCGTTTTTTTTGGTGATTAGAGATCAAGAGTCTCATGAACTTTCCTGCCTGGACTGGCTTGGGACTGTGATCCTCAGATCTTAAGCTTCCTGGGAAGCTAGGATTACAGGCATGTTGAGCCACTGGCACCTGGATGCTTGGTGTTCAGAGCTGGCTACTACTTGAGCCATTCCAGCCTTTTTTTTTTTTTGCTGGCTCATTGGAGATAAGAGTCTCAGACTTTTCTGCCCAGACGGGCCCAGATGGATCTCAGCCTCTTGAGTAGCTAAGACTATAGATATGAGCCACTGGTGGCCAGCAGTAAGCATATATATATGGGGGCGGGGGGAGGCTGGGAAGGGATGGGAAGGGTAAACAAAGGAGGAGGCTACAATGCTTGATAAGAAATGTACTCATTATCTTGCCCATGTAATTGTAACCCCTCTGTACAGTAGTTTCACAATAAAAAATAAAAAAAATGTATGTATGTATGTATGTATATATATATATATATAATTTTTTCTTTCTTTCTTTCTTTTTGTCCATTGTAGGGCTTGAATTTTGGGCCTGGGCACTGTCCCTGAGCTCTTCAGCTCAAGACGAGCACTCTACCACTTGAGCCACAGTGCCACTTCTAGTTTTCTGGTGGTTTATTGGACTTTCCTGCCAGAGCTGGCTTTGAACCATGTTCCTCAGATCTCAGCCACCTGAGTAGCTAAGATTACAGGCGTGAGCCACTGGTGCCCAGCAGTAAGCATATTTTTAAATAAGAAATAGAAATCAGTCTGGGCTGGATCCGAACATAGTGGCTATGCCAGTAATCTTAGCTAATTCGAGGGTGGAGAACATACAGTGGCTCAAACTCAGTCCAGGCAAAACATCTGCAAGAACCCATTTGAGCTGGTTGTGGAGGTACATGCCGATCAGCCCAACTACATGGGAAGTTGAGATTGCGAAGATCATGGTTCCAAGCCAGCCCAGGCAAAAATCTTCACAGAAATCCATATGATTAGAAAAAGAGCTGGGTGTGGTGGCAAGTATCTGTCATCTCAGTTATGAAGGGAAGCATAAATAGGACTGCAGTGCAAGCCAACTAGGGTCAAAGAGCAATACTGCCTAAAAAACAACTAGAGGAAAAAAATGGTGGTAGGTGTGGCTCAAGTAGTAAAGTACCTACCTAACAAGTATGAGGCCCTGAGTTCAACTCCAATACCAAGAAAAGCAAAACAAAACAAAACAACTCCTCTCCACACTCCCCCACCCCCAAAGCTTGGCTTGGATATATCCTGCTAGATCAGAAAACAAAGGCGACTGCTTTGTTTTTTGCAGTGAGGTGGGGTGATGTGGGGACCCTGCACATATCAGGCAAGCAATCGCACTGAGCCATGCTTCCAACAATAGAAGACCTTATTTGGTGGCATAGGTTGAAATAAAACAGGAGCATGCCCGGTGCCAGTGACTCAAACCTATAATCCTAGTTACTCAGGAGGTTGAGATCTGAGGATCATGGTTCAAAGCCAGCGTGGGCAAGAAAGTCTGTGGTCTGTGAGACTCTTATCTCCAATTAACTACCAAAAAGCTGAAAGTGGAGCTGTGGTTCAAGTGGTAATGTGCTAGCTTTGGGTACAAAAGCTCAGGGACAGGGCCCAGGCACTAAGTTCAAGACTCAGGACTGGCATAAAACCATAAAAAAAAAAATCAGGAGCAGGTATTTCATTGTTTGAATATCTGTGCACCTTCCTCAGACCTGGTTGCTCAAGGAAGCTGATATTTAGAAATTTGGTCAACCCATTCCTGAGAGCGGAGAATGTTTTTCTCAATTCGTTTTGACATATCTATTCTGCTCCTGTTTCCATGTAAGCTATTTGGCAATGTTGGGGGAAGGGAGATTGCTACTTGGATCTTGAGGAGAAGGACATGGTTTGCAATCAACAAGGTTTCCATGGGATTTGGGCAAATATTGGCCTGAACATTAATTAATTCCTTCAGAAGCTAGGGCACAGTTAAGGCTTCTCTTAAGGCGGCTTCAATTCTCTTTTAATCCTGCATTTCAAACTTACTGTTTTGCTTTTAGTGTTCTGTGGGAATCAGTAAGTATGAATGCAATAGAGTAAATGACATAGCTTAGTTCCCGTAGTAAGTGGCAAGACTTTCTATTTCCACAGACCACTCTAAACACATGCACTGCAGATCTCTACAGCTCCATGTGCTTCCTGCAACGGGGGCTGCTGGAATGCGGGCCATGGCTGCTGTGTGTCCAGGCCTGGTGCCACCTTCCTTGGGGGGCAGATAATGGTTTATGGAACCCCGATAAACCATTCAACAGCACCTAATGTGTGGGCTCTCACTGTCACAGAGAAAGAGAAAACAAAACTCAAGTGAGCTGGCAGTGTATAGACCATGAAGTGAGAAGGTCAACCGTTAGCCTAGACAGGACAGGGTCTGCAATAAACAACTCACATGCAGAAAGAGAAAAATCACACAGCTGCCCTCAGATAGTCAGGAAAAGATTTAAGTAACTGCATACTATCTACATTAAGGTACATTTTATATAAGGACTTTAAAGCAGGACACAAATCTCAATTTGAGAGTAAAGTATCTGGGCTCAGGAAGAAAGTCCATACTTCCTCTACTGAAATTAGAAATGCCATTCTGTTCTCCGCAAGTCCTTCCTTCTACAAGTCCTTTATTGCCTCACAAGAGAAGCCTATCTTATGTTCCAAAGCTGACACCTTCCAAATTCCTTTGTAGTAGAGAACTTGGCTATCATAACCATAACGTGGTGGAATGAAATGATTTCCTAGAGCTGGCTGCAAAACATACCCTACTATAAACAAATCCCTGCTGCCCGAGAAAGCAACTCATTTGACAAGGAAAAGGCAAAGAGATGGGCAGGGGCACTGCTTTGCCTACCACCCACTAAACAATCTTTGCAGTGCTAGGTATGGAACCCAAGGTCTTATTTGTAGATGCTAGGAAGTCCTCTACAACTGAGCTACACCCCTAGCCTAAGCTGCTTATTTAAATAATGGCCACTGAAGCTGTGGTTCCTAACTGTTTAGATAAAGACAACTGCCCATCCTAGTTCTGGTACAGAACGCAGACAGAGACTGCCGACACCAGAAAGGAAATGAGTAGCTCCAAAAGAATCTAGCCTGGAAAGGAACTATGCCACTCTCAAAGTTTCTCCATAGCTCCAAATAACTGAGTTAAAACTACACCATTACATAATGGAAACAAAAGAAGGCTCAAAATTCCATCCCAATTATTTGGCATTAAACTTGTGTATTAAGTCCTCCATTTGTTATTATTATTATTATTTTTGGTCCAGTCGTGGGGCCTGAACTCTGGGCCTGGGCACTGTCCCTCAGCTCTTCAGCTCAAGGCTAGCACTCTACCACTTGAGCCACAGCGCCACTTTCGGCTTTTTTCTTTTTGCTTATGTGGTGCTGAGGAATTGAACCCAGGGCCTCATGCATGCAAGGCAAGTGATCTACCACTGAGCCACCTTCCCAGCCCCTCCATTTATTATTTTTAAACAGAACTTTTTTTTTTTTTTGCCATCCCTGGGGCTTGAACTCAGGGCTTGAATTCTGTCCCTGCACCTCTCTGTGCTACTGCTCTACCACTTGAGCCACAGAGCCATTTCTGGCCTTTTCTGTTTATGTGGTACTGAGAAATTGAACCCAAGGCTTCATGCATGCTAGGCAAGCATTCTACCACTGAGCCACATTCCCAGCCCAAACTAAAAAACAACAGTCTTAGTTGGACACTAGTGACTCATGCCTGTAATCCTTAGGAGGCTGAGATCTGAGGATTGTAGTTCAAAGCCAGCCTGGGCAGAAAAGTCCATGAGACTATTATTTCCAATTAACCACCAGAAAACGGGAAGTGGTGCTGTGGCTCAAAGAGCACTAGCTTTGAGCACAAGAGCTCAGGGACAGGAACAGTGCCCAGGCGCTGGGTTTAAGCCCCACAACCAGGAAGGGGAGAGGGGGCAGAAAGATTCTTTTACAAACAACTCTACACTACCCCTGAACTCCTGATATTGACATTATAAAGTAACTGGAAAATGTTATGTCTGAAGTTCAGGACTTTGAGAAACAAAGCAGAAGAGGAAAATCTTATTGTATTCTGGATAGGAGTCTTTTTTTTTTTTTTGT